AGAATACATAACTGCAAAAGGAATCACCTGGACACTTTAAGAAGCTGTTTCAACTGCCAACTGCTCGATATTTCCACCCAACCTGAGCTTAAGCAGCTGGTTCAACTAGCAACTGCTTGACATGTCCACCCAACCTGATCTTTTGGGGTGAAAACAGCCAAAGTTTGAGCGGTTTGTACCTTCTGAAGAGCTGACTGCACCCTTCTACACCCAACATCACAGGCCAGGGCTGCTGCCGTCGCCTGGTGAGAGGAGGCTATGAAAGGCTCCCGACTGCACAGCTTCGAGCAGAGCTGCCTCGACCGAAGGAAGCGGGACAGAAAGCTGAGAGCAGGGCCCTGCACTGCTGCTGCCAACATCATGTCTGAGTCCCTCCTGGGGTTCTTTGCTGGATCTTGCTTCTGGATGTGTCTGAAAAGGAACTTGTTAGCTACAGGTTAACATTCGCCCCAAAATCTGCATCCACATTCAAGGTGATCCCAAAACTAAAATAAAATGGATTATTATTTTTTTTTGACAGTATAGGAAGAATTATATAACAAAGGCCACACATCCTCAGTGCAACATATACCAAACCTCTTCCTTCACCCAAGGATCTCAAAATACTCTGCAAACAGTCTGACACTTTCAAGAGCTCTGTTGAGTAGAAACTACCTTCCATTTTGTGAATTCCTATTTTGATAAAGAATCCACTAGTCCCCGCACCTCTTTCTAGCCAGGACTAGAAATGTTTATAAAGCCGTATCTCCTAAAATGAGAGGACACAGTAGAATTAGATTAGGAAAATGATATCAAGCAACTGTTCCGCTGAACAACTTTAATCAGCCTTTGTGACTGGTGTTCACTAAACAGTGAATACAATTAATGTTGAAATCCTTTTCCTTTCTCAACGGGGAAGAGACAGGCTAAGTTTTTCCATTACTGGAACTTACAGGAAAAAGAAACTGTAAGTACTTTCGTTTGTCATCTCCGCATCACCAAACATATGACACTTTCCACAAGCAATACTGTACAGTGAACAGGTCTCCTAAGAAGAAGTCAATGTTAACGTTTTCAGAGGGTCTAACGTGCATACTTGCCTAAACTCTTTAAGCCCCATACAATTGATTTCCTGGTTTATTAATATTTGTACAGCACCTCCAATTTCAGCTTCAGAAACATAAATGAAACAAGCGCCACCACAACCTCAGGCAGCGAAGAAGTGCAATGCCACCTTTGTTACAGAACAGATAGCGATTTTCTGAAGGTCACTCAGGAAACCTCTGTTAGAGCTAAGAATAAAACTCAGACTAGTGTTTTTTATCCATAACCCTGTCCTCCTTTAAAAATACTCCAGTCTAATCTAGATCAAATGTTTGATTCTAATTTTGAACATGACAATTCTACTTCTATTCCCAATGTAGATGCTGTTTTTACCTTTTTAGTACTAGTCTAACCAATTGGTTTTATACGTTTTAGTAAGACCACTAATGTGCTTGGTTCTGACCTAGTTTTAAGTCTTGTTCTCATCTCTCATCCCATTGTTCAATAAAAAAAGCACAATTAAGTAATACCAAAAAGAAATCAATCAAATAATACAAAAACAGTAGACTAAGGTTTATTTCCCCAGATGAAATATTGCCCTGCTTTCTGAGACAATACTATTGGCATGCTCTGTATTTTGGTGACAAAACTAATTTTACTAGCTAAGTATTTTAAATTGCAAAGGGAATGAGATGAACTAACATACTATGAAAGAATAATTAATTATTTCATTGCTCATTCTTTCTAAATTGCATTGTTCACTACAGCTGCTTATTTAGCTCTGTTTAGTTGCTGATTTAAGGATTCCTTTGCAGCCTATTTCAGGTTCATTGCAACTCAGGTTGTGGCAGATAACCCCCCATTTACACTGCAAATGCTTCTATCCTGACACATCTTGCCCTAGCGTGCAATTCCACATAACAATGCGATCTCTTCAAGTGACTGTAACGTAGTCTGATTCTCTGCATGCTGGGATATATGCAAGGCATGCTCCAAAATGCCTGGTTCTTTAAAGTGAAAATTGGTAGTGGAGACAAGGTTTACATGTTTTTGAAAAAAAGAAACAATCCCAGGACAAACATTCTGTTATATATAAACTAAAACTGGAAGTCCATCTATTTGATGGCAATACAGAATTTATTATACATTCAGAAAGTCCATAAAGTCTTAGGAAAAGCAGGTCTCATTAGGAAATGAAAGAGCACGAACAAATGCGTTGTGCAAAACTATGAGATCTGAGAGTGTCAAGTCGTAACATCAAATCTGTCAATGTAAAATGAGGACAGTATTTACCCACAGCTTTCACGGATGTCACTATTTTGAAGGAACGAATGTTCCTTACTATTCTTTGAAGCCAAAAAGGACTATTTACTACAATAAGAAATAAAACTGACAGTGGTTTAAGAGCAGAAGCTTTACAGTATCTTAACTACAGCTTTATTATATTCATAGTATTTACTCTAATTATGAGATAATCTGACAAAATTTGCTCACTGTAGATAACATACCAGGCAGAAAGCAAGAAAAAGCAGAATGTCAAAAGAGAAGTCTCAATCCTGCAAAATGTCCTGCATGGACGTATCACAAAGCCCAGAGGACAAAACATCATCCTGAGGTTAACAGCTGCCTATTGAAATAGAAGGATTTACCTACACAACATGGAGTGCAAGGTCAGAGACACCATTCAGATAGTACAAAGCTCTATAAGCTATCAGGAGAAAGTGTCTGAACATGTGAAGTTTCCATTCTTGGAGATACTCAGTACCAACACGATCCTGAGTAACCTCTCTGGCTGAACCTGCTTTGTGCAGGGGGTTCAACTGGCCAATATCCAGCATATCCTTCCAACCTCAACTATTCTGCAATTCCGCAATATTCCGTTCAAACCCAATCTGTCTGATCAGAAGACAGACATCAACTGTTATAAGCTACTGTGAGACTTCTAAAAGATAAAACACTTTGTGTTAGCAGATCTCAGGGAAAATTCAGGACTCCTTTGTACTTTGCAGGTGATTAAATACTTGGGAAAATTTTCTAAAAATCTTCATCGAGCAGATTGTGGTATTATACATCAATCCAGAAGGTATATGCACAGCTACAGAATTCTTATATTTAGCATTTAGAGATACATAAGTGATTTTTCTGATTCTGAGCTAGAATTCTCATGCCTCTGTGAACACACCACTGATTATATGTCTGTATGGCATTTTAATGGATGCTTCAAGGCTGCCTCAAACCCACTCCTCTGCCCATACAGACAGCAGACAGGGAAATCAGCTATGATTGAAGGATGTCCTCCAAACCATACACTCCGCATATCTACATATATGCAGCAGCTCTGCATAGTCAGGTTTTACAGCACAAGCTCAATGCTTGAGATTGCTATTTAAGAGTCCCAGAGGTTCACCAGCAAGAAATAATTGCTAAAAAAATTCTTTAATGCTTACACAATTCTTTTTAGAATCTGCTTAGTTTTAATTCTTGCCAGCCGTCAATCAAAATAAAAACACAGCATACCGAGTCTACTTCTGTCAAGGTTTTGCACAACAGAAACTTGCGTGCTTTAAGTAGTTTTGACACTGAATCCGCATTTTGAGTTCTTTCTAACATTCCCCAAGTGACTCACACTTCTGCAAAAGAAAAGGGAAAAAATACCACAAAAAAGACTTTGTTAGTGTAATTCTTCGTTGTTTCCTGTTACGGCTCTCTCTTGCAGACGGCTTACAGTGGCTTGCTGATGCTTAACATGGGAGCAATTCTGCTGCAGTCAGTCAGCACTGTGCATTGTTTTCCCACTGCCAAAACACATTTCAGCCTCTGCACGAGGCGCAGCAGACTTCTGTTAGCATGTTACGTGGTACAGGCTAACGATGAACGTACCACGATGCGGGACAGCCACGTTCACGGCCCCGAGACCCTGCGAGGGCACAGCTCTCCCGGACATGGCGGGTTATTCAAAGGCAGCTGCGGTATCTTCACACCAGCGTGTCCCACAGCAAGGCCAGATTCTCCCCTGCCCACCCAAAACACCCGAGACTAAAGGGCTCTTGAGCCACGAGGACACTCTCTCTAACGTCCCAGATCTCTGCAGAGCCTCACGCCACTGGGCTGATGCTTGCGGGCAATCACTGAGGGAAAAGTACAAACATCGGGATGTAACGCAGCTGGAAAGGGCTCAGATTTCAAAGGCAACAGGAGATTCACCATTTTAAAGTGCCTCACAGCCAGCCAAGCTCTGGTCGAGTGTGGCTGGGGAAGGGAAGGGGAAAAGCAACGTCTCCCGGGCACACAAACTGACACAACACGGCGAACTCCACCTAACCGACTTTCCCCGGATAAAATTCAACATCTACAGAGCGACCTGTCGCCAGACGGCGCTTCCCGCCCAAACCGCCCCGCCGCCATCTTGTCGCCCCGCACCGGCCCACCGCCCCCGCGGAACTCCATTTCCCGTGAAGCCCAGCGGCGCCGTCACAGCGGCGGCGCGGCGCTCCGACAAGGCGGCGGCGGCGGGCAGAGCAGGTACGGGCGGGCAGCTCCCCCGAGCCCCCTTCCCGCCCGCGGGGGCTCCTCAGCGCGGCCCGAGCTCCCTGCAGGTCATTTCTGAGAGGACCCCGGCCGCCCTGGGCCGTGCCCCGTGCGGGGTGGCCGTGCTGAGGGGGCCCGGTCCCGCCCGCAGTCGGTCTGCACGGAATAGCCGCAGAACAAGGCCCGGAGCGGGAAGTGGAAGAGCCCTGGCTTTTCATAGCGACAGCTGTAGATTTGCTTTTTTCAATGGCCGTCATCTTTTCTCTGACAGTAACCTCTTTTTTGAGGAATACCAGGGCAGAATGCGGTTCTGCCTCGCCTAGCAGATGGTGAAATGAAGAGCTTCAATTAAAACATGAAATAGATCTGTGAATAACTGAATGTGTAGTAATACTAAAACTCAGATTGCTTTTAATGTGCGTTTTTACAATGTGTTTTATAGGTCAATTTCCTTAAATAGTGCCAGAGGAAAGAGGATGGAACCAGAAAATACTGCCAAGGAAACAGTCCTCATTACTGGAGGAGGTGGTTACTTTGGCTTCCGGTTAGTGCATTAAATAGTTATTACATACGAGAATAAAGGTAATAGATTGTGGCTGGTGAGGCAACAAAATTCATCTGTAAAAGAGAAAACTGTGGGCGTGAGATGCCCGATCCAGTTCACCCCATCTTCTGATTCATCTTGGGTCTCAGTTTTGAACAAACATGTTATTCTGTTTCTAAATGTTTTAAGCAAATACGACACTGTTTCCAAATGTCAAGCATCTACTGACTTGTTAGGTCACCTTTGTAATGGGGATTTGGATAATCATCTTTCAGCCTACTCTCAAGAGCAAGCCTACGCTTGTATGCAGATCTTTTTTTTGACAGTAGGCCATGGCCTGCAAATAGTTACACACGTGCTTAGCTATATAGATTAAATACTCCAGCTGCTCTCTACTCTCAAAAGTGTATTTATTTTTATGGACATTGATGTTTTAGGATTACAGTTGTTAATAAGGTACATATTTCAGTGAAATCCATTTCCTCTTACCGTACATGGCTCTACAAGCTAAACCATGTAAAGAAAAAAAATCCTATTTTCAGCCCTGGACTATCCTCTAGAGTACCTTCAGAGTTATAATTGCTTGCATAGGTGAGAGAGATTACAGTCATGACCAAAAAGTAAATTTCAAGTGGGGGAAAAAAAAATCTCAAAAGATACCTATCTGACTTCTGCTTGTTTTTTTTTTTTCTTCCACTGTCTCCCCCTTTAAGTACTATAGAAATATAACAGTTAGAGGAAGGGGGGAGAGGAATACCAAATTTATACTTAGTGTCAATACCTGTGTTTATATCTGTGACTTGGAGTAAAACGTATGCATGTGGCAAAGTCTTCCATTTAGAAGCATCTCACTCATTCCTCTTCATAAATTTCAGACACAATGGCAAAGACCAACCTATTGTCCTGACAGAATTGGGATGGCACAAAAGCAATAGAAAAAAACCCAATAAGTTTTGTTGGTTTTTTTTTTAAATATTTGGCTACAGGTTTACATGTGAGAGGTTTGCTATTGCTGATCTGTAGGGGACAGAAGCAGGGAAATAGCTGGTTTCTTCCAAAAGGCTGTTGAAAGCACTCCAGTTATTTCTGTTCTGAATTGTCCTCTACAGCAGTTCTGCCTCTTTTTTCCCCTTTTTTTTCCTCCAAAGTATTGATGGAGCATAAGAAATTAGTTCAGTATCTAAAGCATCACAGGTGAATCTTCCAATAGTAGACGGCTGAATATTTAAGAGACCCCCAACAAAAAAAAAAAAAAAAAATCAGTATTAAAATAGTTAATAGTCTTCTCTTACCTCCAGGTGAAATGTTTCATGCATCACTATGCTATGTATACTAACATATGGTTTCCATCATGTTTTAGTTTAGGTTGTGCCATATACCAAAAGGGAGTTGATGTGATTCTCTTTGATGTCATGAAGCCACTTCAAACCATGCCAGAGGGAATAAAATTCACGCAAGGGGATGTCTGTTGCCTGTCTGAAGTGGAAAAGGCTCTTAGAGATGTGATCTGCGTTTTCCATATCGCTTCCTATGGAATGTCTGGGCGGGAGCAGCTGAACCGAAAGCTTATAGAAGATGTTAATGTGAAAGGAACAGAAAATGTCATCCAAGCCTGCAAGAGCATAGGAGTGTCAAGTCTGGTTTATACAAGTACATATAATGTAATATTTGGAGGCCAGATAATAGAAAATGGGGATGAATCTCTGCCTTATCTACCTCTTCATCTTCATCCAGATCACTACTCCCGGACCAAGTCTTTGGCTGAAATGAAGGTGCTGGAGGCAAATGGTGCTGAACTTGGAAATGGGAAAGGTGTATTAAGGACCTGTGCTCTCCGACCAGCAGGCATCTATGGGCCTGGAGAACAAAGACATCTTCCAAGAATAGTTAGTTACATTGAAAGGGGACTGTTTAAATTTGTATATGGAGATCCTCTTAGTTTAGTAGAATTTGTCCATGTAGACAATCTAGTTCAGGCTCATATCCTTGCCTCTCAGGCCCTCAAAGCCAACAAAAAGCACATAGCTGCAGGCCAAGCCTATTTTATTTCAGATGGCAAGCCTGTAAATAACTTTGAGTTTTTCCGACCGTTAGTGGAAGGTTTGGGTTACAAGTTCCCAACCTGTCGTCTTCCTCTCTCCCTTGTCTATTTTTTCGCATTCCTTACTGAACTAGTTCATTTTCTTGTAGGTCACGTTTATAATTTTCAGCCTCTCCTCACTCGCACAGAGGTTTACAAAACTGGTGTCACGCATTATTTCAGTATGGCAAAGGCCAGAAAAGAGCTAGGGTATGAGCCTCAGCAATATAGCCTGAATGAAGTGGTTGAGTGGTTTATATCTCAGGGACATGGACTAAAGCCAAGAAAGTATACCATTATGCATCGTGTTAGGGATGGAGGACTGCTTTTGCTGCTGATTGCTGTGATGGTCTCATGGTTTCCATCTGCAGTTACATTTTCACTCTGAAAGATGAAATGCTGAGTACGGAGGACAGAATTTAGTTATGTTCTCTGAGTGAGTACCCTTGGTTTTGAGAGGTAATAAAAAAAATTAAAAAAAACCCAAGAAAATACACATTTGTGTCATTCGGGTAAATAACCGTTTTATCCTCAAGGAACGGAACTGCTGAGTAAAAAGGTGTAATTTTTATACATAGTTCCTCTTCAAAGTAAAATTGATCAGATCACTAACAAGATGAAGTTCAGTATTACTGCAAACAGCATTTTATTTTCAGGTGCAACAGCACACTACAGTGAACGGAACAAATGTCCTTAGACTGACCCTTCTTCCCTGATGGGATTATAGTCTTGATCCCTGCCCTTTATTCCTAAAAAGTTTGTGCTATGCAATCCAGAGAGTAAACTTACTCTTTGATCACATTCCAAAACCAAATTCTGCTTTCCAGCTTGGACTTATATAGGCCTAACCAAGATTAACTGATAAAATGCTAGACAATAAATAAATGAGCTTTTTTTTTATTATTATTTTTGATGAATACATTCTGGTATGCTTTTCTGAGTTAACTCTGTGATATCTGATGACATTTCTGGAAAATGCACAATGGTTAATCTGAGTTATAGCAAAGTGCTTGAAGCAGTACAGATTTGTAGATTTTTCTAACAGTAAAATATGCCTGTTTAAAATGAATGAGCTAGCTAAAGTGCATTCATAAATAAAACCTATGATTTTTTCCCAGCATTATTGAATGGTTAAACAAATAATCCATCAAAGACATTTGGTAAGTGATTACATTCATGTTCCACTGTTTATAAAACACTGTTAGCCTTTAATAATATTTCTTTAACACCTGACAACATTTGAATAGAACTTCACCTTTGTAGTAGGATGATAAATGCTTGATACAATGAAACTCATAATTTTGTGGAGTTTTAAGAATAGAAAATAAGACCTTGTTAAGTACAGGTCACTGCTGTCTCTAGCAACTCCCTCATCTTTGTCAGTTTAATGTAGGAAGAGATACTGAGAAACTTCACATCAAAATGTTAAATCACAAAGTTGTTTTTCCTTAACCCATCAGCATTACAGTTTCAGTACTCTTGATAAAAGGACAGTCCTTCAAGAAGTTCACACTTCTCTTTAAAGTTTAGTCTTTCTATTTTAATAGCTGGAACTACACTGATCTTAAATTAATTTTGTGCAAGTTACAGTTACTTCAGTTCTGTTAAACTCCACTGTGATTCAAATGGGGAAGAGGAAAAGAAAGTAGTTCTACTGCATTGTTAAAGGAGTCTCAGAAAACAAAAATGCCTAGAGAAACCAAGCTAAAAGTCTACTGCCACCTGTGTCTAGAAGATGGAGATTTTTGTAGTTAATGATGACTGAAGTCAACATTATTTTTTGAATGTTGAGTTCTTTTCCTGAGAAGTTTACCTTTAAAAAAAAAATAAAAATCACTATTGATAACTACATGTTTTGTTTTGCTTGAAATCTGACTTTCCTCCTCCTTCATTCCCCTGCCACTGTGTACACCATGAAAGAAACTAAATTTAATACTTAGCTTAAGGACAGCTCAAGAGAGAATTCCCCCCTCCCCCCCAATAGCAAATAAATTGAGGGGGCCTGGGGCAGCAGTGTTTGTGTAGCAGGAGTGTTGCACTCCTTTATAAAGAGCTTATGTGCCTCCAACAGAGTGCTGATGGCAGAAGGGCCACTTTCCAGAAGTCATTAATATACATCATCATAGTCTGCACAAAGAAGAAACCTTTTTAATAAAACAGAAAAAAGACAGTTGTTACCTCATGAAAGCATTGGACCGCTGTTCTCTTTCCAACAGGCCCTGTTTTTTCAAGTGAAAACCACTTGGTTATTTTCCCCTTTAAGTTCTCCGATTTTGACACAATATTATCAGAAATAGATTAAGAAATTTTAATGACAGCACAAGCTATAGACAAAACCAAAATGTACAAGAAATTGCACAAGCCTGTTGCACAGAACCATAGCATCAGTATTTCATGCTAAGTCTTGTAAAAAGATCTTTTTAAGATATGGAACATAACTCCTGTGCCCCAGAGGAATTTCGTCTGCTATTTGTGATCTTTTTATTAGCAAAACTCAGCTACTGCCATTCATAATTATCTCAATGGTGGGGTTGGTGGAAAAATCTATGAAAGTGTCCTAAACTCATGAAGCCTAAGCCCACGCTGTTGATACTGGCTGAGGTTAAAGCCCTGGGTAGCTTTTTATCTACAACAGAAAAGGAAGCTCCTGAGAAGACCAAAAAAAAAAAACCAGGAATACCAAAACTCCTGCAGAAGCTGGGCTCAGCATGTGAACCTTTTCAATTGTCTGGAGTCAAGGACAGAACTTGTCACTGATAACAGAGGAGGAGGCATTATTTTGTCCTAAGGGCCCATGACTTCTGCTTGAGCACAGGGTACTAAATCAGGCACTTGTTAGGAGAAACAGGCAGTGGCTTGGCAATGGCTACCTCAGACCACATCAACAGTCTGTCAGTATATTCATTAATTCCCTGTCATTCAGCTCCATCTAGTAAAAAAAGCAAAGTCCTGACTACAGAAGAGGTGAAAGCTACTTTTCCTCTTTCCACAATGAAAACAGGAAATCTGTGGCTTAAGGAGATACTTCAAAATTTCTTGAAAATTACATATGTATAAAGCCAGTCACAGCTGCTCTATTTTAAGTATTTTACAATGAGAATTCTCTGTCCTTCTTCCTGTTTTTTATTTGTTATTACTGCTCTTGCATGAATAGCTAATAAATTAAGGTAATTAATTCAAGTGGTGTGTCTGTTTCCAAATTTTAATGTTACCTGTTTTCCTGAAAGTGAATTACCAGAAATGCATCTAAAAACTGAAAAAGCAGAACTGAAAATACAGCACAGCTTCAATTTTTCCTAGTCCTCAAAATGATTTCACAACTGATAGGTGCCTCACTATAAAGAATGATGCTGATGTTTTAAATGAAGAGTTTACAAATCTTTGGTCAGCTGCTAACCTCGCATACATAGCACGTCAAGGTAAAATTTTGCCAGACATACCCGAACAACTTATACTTCTAATACATATATAAATATATTAATATTAGAAGTTTAAATACCAATCATTCTTAAAGTAGACCAGTCTCCTAGGTGACCCAACCAAAATTTTCTTTCATTGCTATTTGTTACTAATTTGCACATATTTTCAACAATATAGTGGCATATTTAATAATTAGTGATGTGATCTTCACAGAAAAGTGTCCTGAACACTAATAATTTACACATATTGTAAAAGATCTGGGGATTAAACTGCAATTCAGGAGTACACAAGTGTTAAGAGAACTACTTCTGCTGTATTTTAGTCAAGCTCACCATGCCCCATTTTCATGGAGTAACACCTAAGAACATAGACTAGTAGTGAATGAAAGTGCATTTTAAATTCTTTTAAAACTAGCAGCTGGGCATGTTTATAAATACTGTTATGGATCAGAAGATAAATTTGGCTCCCAACTGATTCTGAAGGTTAATTTTCATTATATGTAACTTCTATTTCTAATGATATAAATGGAATTTCACGCTGGAACAATGTCAACTAGTTGGACTGCACTTGGAAATGCTGACACAAGACTATAGCAGAATTCAACAACTGTGATTCAGCTTCCATGCCACATTCAGATTTTTACAACTAGCTTGGAGAATTCAAAGATAATCTTTGGTACATGGCTAATGCCATCTCATCATCTAGAAGATTAGTTTGAGAACTGCAAAACTAAAAAATACATTTGCAACAGGGAAACTTATAGATGCATTGGGGTGGAAAAAAGTGAGAATATAGGTAACAAAACACCTGAATGAAGCAATTTTTTGGACTTCAGAACTCGTGCATACCAATATTCACAGATTAAAAGGTGATAAAGACCATGTGGCTCATCTAATGACCTCCTAGAAGACCTAGGCTGCAGATACCTCATATTGATTCCTGCTCAATATATATATAATTTTTATCAAAAGACTGAGAAAAGTTTTGTTCCCAAGACACCCAACAATGAAAAAAATCACAACATAAAAGACAGCGTGCACTCACTCAGCAGCACTACTGCCCATGCAATTAAGGCAACCTTATGGGCAGAAATAAAGCTGATACAATTTTATGGTGAACATCAAGATTACTGTGCTTCCAAATTAATACAAACTCATCTTTGCCTTGTTCAGATTTTATTGTTTGAGTGGATCCAAATCTGATGCTCACTAGGGCTGAAGTTTATATCTACCTATCACTGAAAAAGGTCGGTTAGGAGTTGCAAGTTAAACATGATCTTTGACATTTTCCTTCTGCCCTGCTTGTTTGCAGCCAGATGAAGTGCAACAATAACCATGTCTATGGAAACAATCAATAAGTCAGTTCATCTTAAAAACACAGAAATGCCCTTCCTCCAACCTCTAGCAGAACACACCACGACACACCAGCAGACCACTTTTCAATAAGAACTCACTCATACTGCCTCAAATGACTGGCAAAATTCATGAAATTCAATGAGCTGTGCTTAAACAAAGAAGCATCTGGCATCATTCACATCGCTGCTGCGATATCACAAATTATTTATTAAAAATAAGTTATTTTAAGGATTTAAAACAGTTTCTATAAGAATATAACAATTTAACAGATATTGTTAACTTCAAAAAAAATTTATAAATGTTTTTCCTCCTAGATTATAAAATTAGCACACACATACAAACCTACTTTCATACTAAGACAGTTGCAACTGTAAAAAAGTTGCTACAGAGTCTGCCCTGACCAAGAACTGAGAGGTGAGGTTTTGGAGTTAAAACACAGAATGCAAGAAACAAAAGAGGAGTTTGTACATAGCCTTGCCCATCACTTGCAAGTCAACAAAACAGTCAATGCAGTATTTTCCTTCTGAATACAGTGTAACATTATACTCTGGGGAGAAGTCTTACTGTAAAATGAAATGCATTTTCATAAATACTGAGGGAGTGCCTCATAACTTTTGACATCACATATGTGTGGAGAATGTGCACAGGACTTTTCCAAGGACTATAAAATGTGCCAATTCTTAAATATTTGCACAGCAGCAGCACAAGGAACTCCTGTGTTCATCACACAATGGCTGTCCCGTGTCAGGAATATATAAACCAACGAAAGAAGCCAGGACAAATAGACAATTTGGTTATGTCTGCTCTGGAACTGAGCTTAAAAAAAAAAAAAAAAAAAAATCCTCACAAAATGAAACAAAAAGCCCAACACAGCCCGCAGCAACAGCCTCAGGGTTTGATCTCCCTAAGCCCTAGCATCTTGTAGCCTCCTATTTTTTGTGATCAGTCCAAACCTAGCTGCTACTCAGCTGTCTATAAATCCTGTCCCACCTGTAGCAACAACTTCGGGACCTTCCAGACAAGGCTTTGGGCCACCTTGTCTCATCAACACTGACAATACAGTGTTCTCACAACATTAAATGGAATCATGGAAGGCTGGTGAATTAAATATATAGCACAGGGACTGATCGTATGACAAACTAAGCATGTCCTGGAACATGCTACAAAATGCATGCACACCAAAGCTCCCCCGCCTCTAGGAACAGCAACTGGATCATCCCATTACACCTGGATACTGCAGATAAGCCCAGCTTTATACAGCAGTCTAGGTTACAGCTCCACCTTCCAAATCCACAGTTGCTGTGGTTTTTTCTTTGTTTGAGGTGGGTTTGCACCCATCTAATCCGTGAACAGGTCAATCACAACTGGGTACTGAAGAGATTTCAGGCAGGAGGAAGAAAAGCAGAATTGCCTTTAACTTTGCTCTCTTCTCTTTTTCAGTTGGGTGATTAGTAATTAATTTCTTTATAATAAAAAAATTTACAGAAGCCACCCCATTGTGGGACACACTATCATAGCACTTTCATCTTCGAGACAAGACTGTCTTTACAGAATAACTAAAACCTCAAGGGGGTTCCTCAAACCGTCATCTGCAAATGCACAATGGCATCAATTAAGTGCCTCTTGAAACAACAGAAGTCATAGCATGGGGAGCAAGAGAAACTGAAAATTGCTGAGGCAGCTTCATCAGGCCATGAATCCCAAATCCATGCAAGTTTTCTGTGATCAGAAATAAAGCACTATGTATGCAGCATTTTATGCCTCAGGCAGTCACTTAGACAGAAAAACTTAACTCCTCTGCACACATTTGAAAGTTAAAGTCAAGCTTACAGATGGCAAAACTCCACCCATGTAGAGATAAAGGAACTAGGAATTTCACAGTAATAACACAGTGCTAGCACAAAGAACCAACACATACACAAATTATGACAACTGGTGTTAAATATGCCATCAAAGGACTTTGGTTCTGCTCTGGCAGGAAAACACACTTGCTAATCTAACAAGTTTTCTCATCTGTAGCTCCATGTTCTTCATTTGATTAAAGCCATTAGAACGATGTACCTCTATATTTGTGCATACTATCATTCTTGGATTAGATACATTTTGGGAAAACAGCCTACATTTACAGAACACTATCATTTGACGCTATCATCTAAGTAGGACTGCAAGATTAAAAAACGGACAGTTCATTAAAAAATTCATTTCTACGCACATTAGCAGCTGAAAGGATTTGAAAAATAATACTATACCAAAGTAAATGCTTTTCAGAATTTGAAATATGCTTCCTTTCCGCAAACAAACAGATATTTCCTACTGCATATCTTAAAACTTCTCCTCCCAGTGCCTTGAGGTTGTGAACACAGGTTCACAGGGGCTATGAATACAGGTTCACACATCGTTCCTTTCTTAAACCTTTACAAAGAGTTCAACAGGAAAAACACAACTACAGTCACAGAGGATATTTGGTTTCAACAAAATTAACATATTATCTAGTTGTCAAAAATGTAACAGAAAACTTTTAACAAGAGACAATACAGTATGAGCTATCAGCTGCCCAAAATATTTTATACAGTATCAGAAGTACAATCTGCTGCCTTGGGCACTGTAACATACATGACGTGACAATGCTGGTGTAGGAGTGCTTTTACAGCATTTAATAAATTAAAAACTCACTAACAGTTAATCTTAAGGAGCCAGGTTGTTAAAGTGGTGTGATTCCATGCATGCAAATTGTTGTGAATGTCTTATCTATAGCCTGCATACATAAATATAGTAGATTATTTATACTTGTACTTCAGGTATTGATAATGAGAAGTGAGGTCTATCCAACTACATGCCCTCAAATTTTAAAAATCCTGGATACACAGAAGGTCTGGCCTGCACAGAGGGTATGCTTTGTACAGAATATAAATTAAACCAGTTTTTCTTATAACAAGAAATTAAGGAAACCCATCTTTCCTCCTCCTCCTCTTCTTCCAGTCATTCAGTCTGATGAGACCGTCATTGAGTAGGATGGCCAAGATAAATTAATATCTCTTCCTGAATTGCACCATAAAGCACGCATCAAAGAATGATTGCTTTAAGAGTAGAATTTGCTGTTACTGACTTTCTTCTCCTTTAATCTTAAGGGAAAAGAAAAAGAAAAAGTCAAGTCTACTAAGAATTTCTCAGAGGAAAACAGTCTACCAAGTCCAATTTACTTAGATATGAACAGCCAGTAATGTATCAGCAACAAGCATTGCAATTTTTTTTCCTCAATAAATTGGATTAAACCAGTGATTCATGCAGCTGTTCAGCACACGTAAAAAAGGGTAAAAGTATTTAAAGAAAGTCTTCCTCCCATCCCATCTTGAGGTCTACTCAAGACTTCCTCCTGGTACATGAAGCCTCTATGTCTGTCTCCCTCAGACCCAGCCCAAAGGTGGCAGCAAAGGAGAAGGATCCTTCCCCTCAGCTTTGGGTAACGTACTGACACTTAATTTACAATTCTATGCTGTTACAACTCAATACTGTTTTTGTCTTTTTGTGGTTTGTGTATCCGGAAGCGTCTTCTGTTCCCACATATCTAATATGCTAACGACATTTCCAGGCACATAACTTTGATAGTGTAGAAGGAGTGAGGTGGTTTATTTATTTGGCTGTATATACTTCCAGGCTTTCCTCCTGGAAAGCAGGAGAGGAATATAAACTCACAGAATTACATGTTTCACTGTGATCACTGAAACTGGGATTTCACTGAGCAGACATTTCACAGCATCTGCTGACCTCTAGCGGCTTGCAGCCCAACCTTGCTTCGCTGCAGCCCTTCCTTGCTTCAGATATGCTCATTCTACACTCGCCACTCTTTAGATGCTCGTCTTGATAAATCTGAGATTTCCTTACCATAGAACCTGTCTAGGTAAAGCTGCTTGGGAAAGGAGAATGATTATCAACCCACCTGCGGTTGCATGTCTCTTGATATATCTGTAGTTTGTGCTCATTCACATTGAATTCTTTTAATATAGCATCTCTGTTAGGATTCCTTAAATTCATATGCGTGTCATAAAGAAACAGCTGGTTATTAAGCTCCTCCTGGCGCTTCCGAAGTTGCCGACATGAGGAATAAAGCTCTTCTTCACTTTCCTTCAAAAGAATATTGGAAATCAACAGAATTTGTAAGACACATACCCAAAATGACACAGAATCAACATAGTTTAAGGGATTGTTTTCCTAAACACATTCCATTAGCTTTATAGAATATTTTATACAATTAGTTTTATAAGATGTTTCTGGAATGTTTACAGGAACAAACAAACTAAGAAAGCACTTAAAAACCCCCTCAGACCCACAGTATGACCAGCCATACCCCCTAATGGGGGCATCAGGGGACATTCCAGCACAAGTCATGAAATGTGTATATCTAAACACTTCTACTGAAGTATTTTTCCCTAATAAAGCATGTCAGTCTGTCGAAGAAAGGAAAGCAAATGGTGTATCATGATGGGTTATCAGATTATAACAGTTTTTAAAATACTTTTTTAAAAGTTCAATTTTTCACTCTTCCATCATATTTGTGTATTATGCGACATACTACCAATCTTGGTGCTTTTCTATTGAAATCTAGACTCAAGTTTGAAATATTGCCTAGTAAATAGGACCCTAACAGCAGCAAGTACTCAGATGATCAAGAAAGAAGGACAGATCCTGTGTTTCTATGTAGCTATGGCAATTCAATACTTGCAGAGGAACTGACTATTTGAAGAATAATTTGCAGCAGTCTGAGTTTCTGTTGTTGTATGCGGCCCACAGTAGAAAGTCACAGTATATTCCACAAGCATAAAATAATCACCATGCCTCCCTTTATGACTTCAAATTATTTTAATACTTCAGAACTTTGGATGCAAAAGCTGTCTCCTTTATAGAGTTACTAGTGCGGAATAGTACTGGCAGGACTGAAGTCTTAATTTTCACATCAGCAGCAAACCAAGATACTCATCCTACAAGAAATGACATGCAATCAATAAATGTAATAAATCCAAACATTTTCAGAGGTGGCATACTAATAAGAATGCCTATTTCTGCACTCAGTCCGGATCTAGGAAAATTGATAGGTTAGCAACATGCTCAAGGGGTTTCAGTCAGCGCAACAAAATCCTTTCCTAAACCTTCTTTTTCCTCCTGAAACACATTCCTACCCAGGTATGGGTTGAAGCAACTGAACAGTCTCAGTGCTATGCTACTGATGAAGATTTTTAAAGTAATTTTTTAATTTTTTAATTTTTTTTTTTTTAAAGGGGAAGGAAACTTTCTATTCCCAAAAGGAAAAGCAGATTGCCAATTACCAATTTACAGGTGTAATCATCAAGATGCCATGTACTACTATTTGTTCTTGTAAATAAATGTATCCACAAAGCTAGACTTTCAAGCCCCGTTTAAGAATGTCCACTTCAATCTTTATGTTAAAAAACATATATACCATTGAGGCTGATTGTAATCAGAAAATGCTGAAGAGATACACACATTTTCTGAAGTAAATATATCAATTTTCAAGCAAATAAGAGGTACTTCTAAATTTAACAACCACCTCAGAATAGTACAATTACAGTATCAAGAAAACAGGTTAACTTCAACAGAAACTGCATAAGGCCTCACATAATAATTCACAAATGTGCATGCTTACGTCTACAATATTCTTGCCTCTCTATTCCTGAGAAATTCCACAGCCATCTGTAATTCCCCTTTATAATTCTGCATTTCATCTCCAAGAGTATGCAGATGGGCTCTGTATATAAACAGGCCTGTTACTAAGTTATATCATTTTATAGAGGGTCATCATTTAAAGAAAAAAGCGCAGAAGAACAGATGGAGACAGCCTTGATCTTTTCTGATGCTTCTTGAATGATCTGGCAAAAGTTCTAGAAGTTGATTAACTATGGCAAGTCTTGGTTTGTTGCAGACTGCCAAACAAAAGGGAAAATTTTTGTAAGTTCTCCTGCCACCGCATTACCACCCAGAAACATCAGACATTGTAAAAATACAGAGCTATGCTGCATCTTCATTTGGCTTAACAAGCAGAAGGGGCTTCAAAAGTGTGAAATGTGCTACTGTCAAAGGACTCAGTGCTGACAGATTGGGAGACATACTGCTGCTATGAACAACACTTAAAGAACTACTCCTGCCCCAGGCAAATAATGAACTGAATTTCTGAGGAGAAACCACAGCAGGAGGAATTCGCAATATATCTACAAGTGACGTCCATGCTCAACGTATTAGGCAGTGGTGAGCTGCTGCCAGTTTTCTCAAAGGCAGCAAGCCAAAAAAATAGCAGTTTATCAGGCCTCCTCTAGCAGACTTGTGCCCATGAAATATGAACATTTTAAACATTATCTTCAAAGGACATAGGTCTCTCTTGTTTACACACACACAGAGACACACACACACACACACACTTGGTCTCAGCTTCTAGCCCTCTCCTGCTCTCATGTCTCTGCTAGCCAACAGAAGGAACCTACCAAGGCTGCCAAACACGGTCGTTACACACCGTCATTTTACAACATGTGTTATAAGGTGGCTTTGTAAAAACCTTGACAAAGGATGTTTGGAAAACGGTCGCCACTCCTTTGTGAAGAAGAACGTGGCAGAATTCAGTAATTTCCATTTCAGTGTAATGCAACTCCAGGCGCAAATCCCTCCAGAGACGTAATGATTTACAGTTAGCAGAAGTTGGTGTTTTAATCAGTAAAAATAAAATATGCTGGTGTGAACTGCAGTGTAAGCCTGAATGGTTGTAAAAGACTACAAATAAGAAGTTGGACCTTTCTTTTTCCCTGAAACTGAAGGGTACGGGAAAGCACCCTGAAATACTCACTTCCCAGAAGCATCTTTAAACTTTCATCACATGGCCTCTACACCGGTGCATTTAAATTATATGAAATATTATTGCAATAGAGTCTGAGAATAATCCTGCTTCAAATCAACATATACAGCAGCACCTTTGGAACACCAACAAATGCTGTTCACAGATCAGCCACTTTAATGCCTGGCTTCATGAGCAAGGATGCATCATTATTTTTTCCCCTGTATGTTTAAAAATACTGGTACTTCAATCAGGTGTTTTAGAGGCTTAAAAGAAACAGATCAGCACTTCTATAGGAACCAGAATATGTCTTCCATATGATGGGTTGTTTATTTTAATGAAATACTGGGAGAAATTACTATCTTCTCTTCATAAAGTGATTTCTTTTTTTGTAGGACCTTTAAAAAAAAAGATTATTCTATGAAGTCAAAGCTGAATTTAGCTAGCTTTGTGGCATCAGTTAGTTAACAGGGGAAGACAATGACCATGCTGTTACAGCAAAAACTAGTGGAGGTAATGAGGCTTTGTTAGTGCATTATTTCTTTTAACAACTATGTAATCTGTCCCCCCAGAGGGAGAATAACTCAATTTGGTCTTCCCAGAACCTGCAGAAGAAATGCCTGAAAATAGCACATTAGACGCAGAACAGAAAACTAAATCCTCATTTCCTGGTTTCCACAAAAAACTGATAACATATATGAAGTGCACAAAAAAACCCCAGTGGTTCTCACCAGAACTTGTTGCATTTCACAGTGAACTAGAAGTGAAGCCAGCTCTATATCTTCACTATAGCCATTCTTGAGAGGAACTGATCTAAAACCTGGGGTGGGGGGAACATATACAAAGGACAATTAGAGTCAAGGCAAAGGGTTATCTGCTGTCACAAAAATGGTGCCTACAGTCCTGCGGGCTAACAGATTCTTCATTGCTCAAATGTTCTGCTGCTGAGAACAGGCTTTGCTATGACAATTACAGGGAAGCAAAAGGCAAGAATGGTAAAATTGAGAAACACATGATTTCACATGCTCTTGAAAACTAAAGCCAGAAGCAGAGGAAAGCAGAAAACTTACTCTACACGCATCCACATCTAAGGTAATTAGCAAAACAAATGCACCGACATCAAACCAGAAGAAGAATCTTCCCAGATTTTACTCAGAGCACATGACCCTGTTGCTGAGATGAAGTATGTGGTAAAGAGAGTGCAAATTATTCTACATAATGCTTTCCTCAATCTCTTTTAATCTCTATATGATACACAACCAGTATCATAATAAACAATGGATTAAAGGAACTCCTATCAAAAGAGCACTTGTCCTTTGGCACACTGTAGCTGCTACTGAGAGCAAATACAACAATGCTGAACAGCATCTTTCTGACTTAGCCCCTTATTATACCCATTGGTCTTACCTGATTTGATTCCTTTGATGGGAAAAGTGGCGTGTGCTAAGAAATTGGGATCACTGAACATATCTTCCTCATAAACAACAAAGCGCAGAAACGCTAGATTTGGATCATAAATTTCAAATTTCACTTGCTCCGGACAGGGTGCCCAAACTGGATTAAGGCCATTGTCATCTGTATTGAAAAGGAAACATTTGCAGTATGAAGCAATAATTTCACCTCATTCACATATGGGTATGTATCCCGGGACATTTTCTGGGGATACAAAGGCCCAAAAATCTATTTACCATCTGTCTCCTGTTGTAACCTTCTTTCAGAAGGTTTGTATTTGTTTATTTGGGGGAGGAGATAGGAGGAGACTTGGCAGGGATGGAAATCCATAAAGAAAAGCCATTTGTATTTAAACATATAAAACCTCCTTGGATGTGTATTTTTAAAAAAAAAAAAAAAAAAAAGAGCTAATTCATTGCTCATATTCATGAGCCTCATGCTCTGTATCAGAGTAAACGCATGAAAAGCACTCAGAAGACTAATGTACAAAGGCCCAATTCTTATAGTCATTTATAGAACACCGAATAATTTGGTATGTGTGACACAGTCAGGAGGTTTGTTCTCTAAAGCCTTGGCACTTCCCACAAAAAGTTAAAATCATAATCCTCTTCTCTGAAGTGCTGAAAAGCCACAATGCACGTTCTGTTCCCAATTCTGTGTTTATTTTCCACTGGTATCAGTGGTTTGGATAATTAAAACCAAAGCCTCTTGTCTGCTAGAGGAACACTGCTGCATCCAAAAATATTAAACAATGAAATATTAAGTGGCTGAGATACTATCCCATTTCAGTGCACTTAAATGAAGCTTGTGTACACACAAATGCACATGCACACAAACACAAACACAAATCCCTTATCCAGAACTCACCAGGACCGAGCTTTGATCAAACTTCCATTGCATTGCAAGTTATACTACTTTACAGCCCTATATACCCAAGCTGTCTCCAAGGGGATGTCAGTCATAGAACCCAAGTTTAAACAAACACAGTCTGGATCTCACAGTAGTAACTCCCCATTTGGGCCAGACTTTTGGGAACTGACTAGCACTGTTGGAGGCACTTTCAAGACAGCAATTTTTTAAAATATGCAAATGCACAAACTTATACATACGCAAAAACATAACAGAATTGTGGCGCTTTTTTTGTGTTGTTACAAACTGCAACAGTACTTTTTTTTCTAAATTTGAAAATACTGAAATTTCTCAAATTAACTGGCCCTGAGGCAAGCAAGAGAATAATATTGCATGACTCATCAGTTCAGAGCAATAGTTAACTTATTCCTCGCTGTATAGGTTGCTGGCCAATTACAGAAAACATGAACTCATGGTTATCCTCTACTCACTTTATTTAAGCACACTGGAAGTATAACCATGTCCCTACAACACAGAAAACCACAGATACTCACTCACAACTGTTGTCTTGAATTTGTTGTTATCATATTCAGCCCCACAAATTTCTACCTCTACAAAGGGACAAGCGATGCTTCTACCAGGTTTAGGGAGATGACGAGCACCTAAAACCTGCAAAAGCAACCGTAAATTATAACCACCTCCAAAGGAAACTTGGCACCATTATTTCTGTACAGAAGGTAGCCTACAGAAGTAGAGGGAGGGGGAAAAAAATCCAGAAGAACATGCAAAAATATACACTCCCTCTCTTGAATATGTTTGCATGTATTAAACATACTATCTGTGCCCCCAATAATAATATCTTGCATTGTTTGAGTAACCCAATGATTTTCATTGTAAGATACTGTAGCTGACATTCATTTCACACAGTATGCAGTTCCAGACCAGGCCTGTAACATAAGTTTTGTTATCTTTCCTGTCTTTATTACACATCTATTTTAAGACATTCCTGCTTTACATTCACAGCCCCTGTTTACCTCTTCTCTAAACTGTAGTGAAAAGCAGTTAATGTGTTTCTTCTTTCTCAGAAAACATATTTTTAAAGGACATTTCTTACTGTATAGCAACTGAGAACAGAAAGAAGTTGAATTCCTGCTGGGCACCAGAAGACAACATGGCATAATTTTCAAATGATAAACTCATCTCTCCATGAAAAATGAGAATGACATTCTGATTAAGTCACAGGGTATTAAATATGAGGGGGCGGGGGGGGACAGCTTATTATTTTTTCTGCTTAGTTTCTGTATTTTATTACAAATATCTTTCTTCCCCACTGGAAATCTCTGAACTAGTTACTCTGTTGCATAACCAATCTCCAATAGGACCCTTCTATTGAGAAGTCATTAGACTGGTAATGCAAGTTAGTTCATTTGGAATTTTTATTAGCAATTACATAAAATTATCCCAGGATTGTGTTTTCAGTCCTATAGCATGTGCTTCATTAGCATGATAAAGATATATATTTCTTTTCAGGAGCCAGTGGAATTAGTTTTTTTCTCAAATACATTGACATTTAAAAACAGTATTTTGACAATCTGTCAGATCTTGCTCTGAAACATAATAGCTTTATTTTTCATTTTATAGATATTTATGACTTGTAAAAAAGATAATTTACAAAAGAGATTTACCCTCACTGTCATAATCATCTGCAATTTCCTCTTCGAGTCATTTGGCATTGGGTCATACTCCTCATTTCGCATGCTTTCTGGCTGCAGAACATAGCCCGTGCGTCCATTAAGTGAAAACAAGGCATGGTTCAATTGCATGTATTTATCTAGGGAGAGAGTTAAACAGTCATAACAGAAGATCCCCATTTGAATAAAGCTAAGCAAGTACCAGACTAATGGCTCCTCTCTGTAATTCTTTCTGGTCACCACTTTATCAGAAGAGCTGGAAAGGTAAGTTGGAAGACTTGGTTCCTCTCGGTAACTGAACCTGACAGGCCATTTCTCACCAATTTTAATCCCAATAAACCCATCTCCATTCACAATTAGTTTCCTATCAACGTGTCATAAGCTAGCTGGCCCTTACCAGAAAGTGGAGTACAGCCTTCCCTGTGGCTGAACAACTGTTTATCCACCTGAAACTTAGTGTAAATATCTCTGCTTGCGTATCACAAAGAGATCAAGGTGAAATAAACCTTTTAGAGTTTGGGGCTAGTTAGGCTCAGAGACAGGGCTTTTGGAGACTGATTTTTGGGGACCAGCTCTATCAGGCAATCCACACATTCAAAACCAAACTTTAGCTCTTGCACATCCCTTCTTGCAGGGAAGTACAAATATATAGGACAGCCACAGTGGCTAGAATGGCAGAGGAGCCAGAAAGGGACTCGTTTATGGTGAAATGGAAGGTGGAATAGATTCTTTTTTAAAGAGAATATTACCTGGAGTTTGGAAGTTAAGAGCCACCATCTGGGAGCCACAAAGCCAGAGGCGAAATGGGTCGTAGTTGGATGAGTCGACCCTCTGTCCTTTAGGATAAACACGTGTCAGTCCCTTCAAGTTGTATTTCAACAACTCAACTGGCTTTTGCTTAACAATGCTCTCTGCCTTGGTTTCCACAAAAGAACGGATTTCTTTGAAATCAGGATTTTCTACACAGTGCAGGGAGGAAAAAGAGCGGTTACTAAAGGAAGAAAGAAGTTGACGTTTATACTGCATTTCTACTAACACTTTGGTTTACTCTGTTTTGCTTTGTCCTTTAATGCAATAATTGGCACAATTTTCATGCAGACATGGCAAATTGGTTGAGCATCAAGTCTGAAAGTTAAAATTGCCTGCTTGCCACATGGTTAGCAGCAGGGCAGATAAGAGTCTATAGTCATGTTCTCATCTCATCATTGCTAATAATGTACTTCTGACCACTATAACACATATTTAAATGAGACATCTTTTCCTGGGTTTAAATGGAGAGAAGAAAGGGTGAGCCAGGGTCAGCCAATGCCTCAAACAATGACTATAATTATAAAGTCTTAACCACACTGACAGCTTATTAAAAACGTTTGCAAAGAAACTTAAAGAAAAAGGGCACATTTCCTGGCTTGTCCAGCAGCAACGACAAAAACTGGAATAAGTAGTACATATTTCAGTGTCAGATTCCACACCTGCACTTACACAGACCCCAGTTCTCATTTATATTATGAAACCATATACCATTCCAATAGCTTACATAAATGGCAAACAGGTTCTTACAGTAAAATTATATAATGCACAACAAATACATTTTGAAGGTTTTTACAAACAAATCACAAGTGTTTAGCCAGAGTTTTTCCATCTCAAAAAAAAGTCACTTGACATGTAACTAGTGAGCTTCCCCATGAAAGACACCTACAAGAGGGTGTCTCTGGTTGACAAGTTAGAAATTTGTGACAGTTGTATAGCAGCGAGTTCCCTAGTGTACAATTTCGAAGTGCAACTGAAAACCGCATGGGTGAGACAGAGATTTGTTTTCCAGTAGAGATAGATTTTATCTTCAGTTCTAAAATTTCAACTAACATCTGTGAAAACAGTAGAAAGGGTAAAATTCAGATGTAATATTAAAGGAAATACCTAAATTGTCCTTGGTTTTGCTTGTTGGCTTGCAGTAGATTACCAGATCAGATAATTCAATAGCAATCAATTGATTCTTTTCCCAGTATTTTCTCCTGTTCTCCTGTAAAACGTAACAAAGTTTTAGATTACAGATACACTGAGTACCATGGTACAGTAACTCCAGGGTATACTCTAATGAAAAAAAGTTGATGCATTCTTTGTTGCCCAGATTCCTATCGGATACTTTAGACACTTGCACAGATGTAATGTACTTTAAGACCCAATTCAGAGAACAGGCTAACCAAGTGGTTTTGGGTTTTAGTTGGGGGTGCATTTTGGGGGGGGTGGTGTGTTCTGTTGGGGTTTTTTTGTTTGTTTTGGGTTTTTTTTAAGCAATTGTTTCAGTGCTCCCCTGATCAGTCCTACTCAGAATCCTAGCAAATTTTTTTTTTTTCTTTTAATGTGGCTCTACTCAATTTTAGTTACATTCTCAACTCTATACCTCATATAAATGCAAATGTATGCAGAAAAAATGCAAAGGGTAGTGAAGTGTCTCTCTACTTACTTACAATCCTGAGCAGGACTTAAGTCTTGTTAGTAATTCCCACACAGCTAAATTCAAACCCTATGAGCATCATTCCTGCAGTTTTCTATTTGACCACCAAACCAGTAATGTTATGTACGGAAAATAACATGCAGTCTTGTTGTCATCATCAGTAATAAACCCACTATCTACTTCCATGTTTGCAAGCACCTGCTCTGTGGAAGCTGAGCAACAGTCCCTGCAACCAGAGATTGGGAACTACTGAAATCAGCAAGACTTGTCCTGAGTGGAGACATCTGAGTGGGAGGCTTTTCAGACATAAGAAGCAATTACAGGATAAAACATGTTAGAAGAGTCCCGTACTGAACAGCAATTAGATTTGGTACAAGAGGTTATGAAGCAGCAGCAATTAGGAAGTCTTCCAAAAGAATTCCCTCAACAACACAAACTGAAGAGGAATGAAAATCAGAGCTAGGGAGCCATGGGTTTCCAGAATGTTTCACTGAACCAGAGATGATACAGTGAAGTCTAAGAAAAGCAGAGAAATACAGCATTTAGACTCAAAAATAACCTTGGGAAAAAGCTGTACAAACCTCATTGTACTTAGTGATCTACCACAGTTTCCCAGACATTGCTCAACAGTAATCAGAGCTCCAAATAGCAAAGGACCACTTACTTCTACATGCCATTAGCTCATCTTTAGACATAACCCTCTAGTGATAACCAAGCAGGAAAACTAACAATGAACAACCATTCCTAGGAGCATGGCAAGTGTCAGTATTAAACAGAGATGACAAGATACGTGAAGCTTAGTTTTACTTTTTGTGTAAAATGGGCACAGCCCAAAAATGAACTCACAAAAAACCTGTACCATATTGTATGATACAGGTCATACAATTTTTTCTTCCCCAAAATTCAGCCTGTTAACTATACTGGCAAAAAGGGCCTCTCCTCATCTTTTTACCCTCCCAATGAAGCAGTCTATCATATGAACCTTCTACTGGCCACACTGTGAGAAAAGCCTCCTGATGGACAGAAATGAGTTTTAAAGCATCTTTGAACACAGAGTGTTTAATACATCTCTAACTGTACAGAGGGAGAAAAAGCTGCCAAGCTCCTGAAGAGCCATTGATGTCCCATAAAAAACATTCCATTTGGAGACACTTCTTCTGGGTCATGTTTCTCTTTTTCTCATTTTTATTTCTAAACGAAAGCCTGGCATAAGAACCGTATCTCTCCTCGCCCAACAATAGGTCAACAGCTCCTGTTGCTTCTTCCCTTGCTGAATTTGCAGTCCTCTGCTTGAGACACCAACTTGCCTGCTATAAATAGGATTATGATGACCCTCAGACCATTTACCACTCCAGATGACAGATAAATAGCATGAGCCAACATGATACTGAAACACGTTTTCCATCACTCATATATCACCCACTTAACAATAAAAAAGTGAATAAAAGCAACAAAGGAAAGAGTATACTTAAGTATAGTCATTGTAAGGGCTTTTTGGTCATGTCAGAGACTTCTTAAATACTACAAAAGATGAAAGGGAGGTAAATTAATACATCAGAACAGGAGAAGCAAGTCCTGAAGAATGTCTTTAAGGGGCAGTACTCGTAGAGAGATGTAGAAGCTAAACTTAGGCAGAATCTTTTAATCTTTAGGCAAGGATTTAGAAATACTACTACTGAAGATCTGGTAAATCCAGAATGTGCCTATTAGTTACAAATATATAAAGCATTAGCCAAACAATTCCCTAGCAGTGCCACTGCATTCACTGGAAAGCAGAGTTAGTAAACAGGATTAAGAAGCATTTAGGCAAACGCAGCTCAAATTTCACATATACTTACTAGTGGATTCACAACTGAACAGAATAGTCTGATATCAGAGTTTCTTCTGCTTAACACTACGACTGAACCAGTGTAACCACATATAAAATTTTAATGGCATCTACTCTGTACTACTAAGCACATTTCACTGAGGTGCAGGGTGCAAAATAGACAGTACTCTACTGGAAAACTCCTGTTAACATAAATTTACATAAAATGCTAATTTACATACCATTCCCAAAAGAGTTTAGGGAATAAGATTCATAGCATCAATAAAATGAACAGAAAAACAGCAACATGGAAGAGAGTGAAGGACCATGTGTTAGCAAGGTTTAGCAGTATATGACAGCTAAAGACAAATCCTACTGTAAATTTATAGCAGTACATTATAAAAAAACAACAGATAGATTTTAATCAATACCTCTTCTGTAGTTTTCCAGGTGATTTCACGGATACTTTGGTACCATTCAAAGAGTTCTTCTACTTTATCAGTTGCAAACTCAACACATGGATCTTCTGGATTCTTAGGTTCCAGAATGAAGACAAAAGGCTTTTTGTGTTTCCCTTGTGGCATTTTCACTGTTAGGCAACACAGTAGCAAGATATTTATACTAAAATCCAACAGTAGTTCTTCTAAGCTGTCATTGTTGATTTATTGCAACAGTTACTATCATAAAGTTTCATCATATTAATGGTACTAGCTATATTAATACAAGTAGGTGTTTTGGGTTTGGGTTTTTTTTTTTAAATAATCTTTCCTGCTAAACATAAGAGTCTACTCAACACAGAAAGCTCAGGAGTCCACATGTAAGTATGAGAAAATACATACCAACATTGTACGTATTGAGTACCAGTATACCGCGACATAGAGAGCCTAATGGATTGTCCTCAATAATCTGAAAAACACAAGTGAAATCTGACTCTAAATCTCCTCTTGAGTGAATATGCACAGGACATTAACAAATAATAAACACGCACCATTAAATCTAACCTCGGTTTCACTGAAAGCATGCCCACTATAATGTTTAAAAGCCTGTTTCCATAGCAAGAATTTCTCATTTTGAGAAACACATCAGTCAAAATGAGGAGTGCAGCTTCTGTCCTAACACAAGTGCTCATTTTTCAAGTCTGCTTAAGGCTGCAATGACAGGGGATGGGGAAATCCAATACATGTGTTTTCCTCCAAAGACTCCTGGAAAATCATTGGAAATGCTTCAGAACAACAAAAGAATTCAATGTTTTATTTTTAAAACTCAAAAATGTCAAAACTGCTTACTATCGAGTTTTGTTTTGTGGAAGACATCTTCGTCCAAGACTCCAGACTAGATTTTTAGACAATTGTGACAAACAGTATAGGGTTAGTTATGCATAAAAACTTAATAATGGAGTGTGAAATGGCTAGTAAGATGTGTTTGGACACATAGTGTTCTTATTTGCAAATATTAAGGCAGTAATTATACAGGCAAACTAGTTAAAAGTTTCAGGCACATTATTGTTTAGCCAAACTATCTGAAAAATCTAAACTGGTATGATTTTCATTAGCAGGAAACCATTATAATCTCCTAAAACCCCACCAAATCAACTACTTCCTTAAGTAGTTTTCTATAAGGGATGTCCTGAGAAAAACGTTCAGCAGCAGTGAACAGTGAAGAATGCATTCATTTCTCTATTCTGTGTTCTCTCAAACAAACAAGAGCATGCAGAGTCGTAATTCTATAAACCAGACTTCCACTTCCAGTAGGTAGCATCTTCTAGGGAAATATAGCAGACAAACCTTAACCCTCACCTGGTTTTCAAGCTCAGCAGAGTTATCAGATGACAGGTCTTCAACATAATTAGATGGAAAATAGTGTTGGACTTTTTCTCCATAATCCCCTTTCCACCTGAATTTAAAAAGAAAAGTATATATACAGAAAAAAAATAGTTAAAGAGCTTTAATAAGTCATTAATGAAGCAATAATCCTCAAGAAATTGGTCATTAGTACCCCATACTAGCTTATATTTTGGTGATAGCCAGCTAGACAAGTGACGAAGTAGCTAAAACCTCTAACAAAGTGATCATTAACTGTAGTAACAGATGATTTCAGAGGGATTACTGTTACTGTAAACTGCAATTAGTGACTTAAGAGGCTCTTTCCCCCTCCAATACTAAAAATACTATTATGTGGTTGATTACCCTGCAGAAACTACAGGGAAACATTAGATTCCCAAGCTTTCCAAACAATTTACAAGCCAGCTAAGAAAGAAAACCTCTTATGAAAGGAGACTGTACAGATAACTAAAAAAGGTAGGTTTGATTCCTGAGATGTACTTAGCAGAGCAAGGAAAGAAACAGAGCAATGATGACAATGGTAATAGATGCATGACTTCCCAGAATACACAAGTGTTCGGTAAAGATGAATGTAGTAAAGGGAAAATACTGGACACACTGGGCTATGGAGGTTCTGCAGGCTGAGGTTATTGCTATAGGATAGAAAAATGGAAAAGACATGAAAGGAGACTTGAGGATAAGGCGGTTTGGGTTTGTTTTTTTTTAAATAGACTGGCATTAAGATTTGTACAGCCACAGTTAATAAGCAGCAATCAGACAAGAGGCAAAGTTTTCAAAAACTGCTACTCAAAGCTCAATTTCTTCCTCCATCTAGTAAGTCACCAGAAGTTCTCCTATGAGGAACCTTTGTCCTTACCAGCCTCCAGTTTCCTTTGTGACATTATGAATTAAAGCTCCTCGAGAAAAGCTCAATTCATCACTTCTTTTGGCTCTGTAGTCATACAAGGCTTTCACTGTTCTCTGAGGCTTTAAGAGAAACAGAGCAAAGGGGTCATCTAGGGGGATAGGTCATAAAATAATCAATAATGCAATCTTAAAAAAAAAAAATAAATAAAAGGAGGTGGGATTTGATCATTTTTGTTGTTGTTGTTATGAAGCTTAGAAAACATAATACTAAAGTTCCAGAGTGACATCTATTGGTGGAAGCAAGTGATGCTACTTAACTGCTATTCAAGTACCAGCTTGGAAAAAAGAAAAAAAGAATCTTTCTTTTATGGGTGCTGCAACATAATTACTGGGGAGGGGGAGGGGGGAAGAAAACCACACAGTGAAAGATCAATCCTTTATCTTCATTACATGTATTCATATGCAGTTGGAGTTTGTAGGCTTAGGTTCCTACAAAGCCTCCACTTCAAAACCACATCAGCTATCCTGCTGGTCACATCTCCTTTAGGAAGTCAACCAGTTTTAGCAGGACAAGCAATTTCTTTATCTTGAATTTACCACTACCCAAATTCTTTAGCAGCAATTAAAATTCATTGGCCAAAAAGACTAAAAAGAATTACAGCCAAAAAATTTACAAGCAGGTGAACTTCTATGAGAATTTACAAGTAGGCAGGCCCTAACAAGAATTAGGGATAAGTAGATGTTTGCTGTCCCACTTGTTTTTAAAACATTATATATGTATCTTAAAAGAAGACAAACTTTAATAACTCATTAATAAACCAAAGACACCATTTTTATAAAGAAAGCACATAAATAAACTCTGCACCTATTTGTGCATGCAGGCCATGTTTGCTAATGGAACTGCGATAGTTTTGTGCACACATAAGTAACAGTGCTCATAAACACACACACAGAGACACGCACACTTGGGGTTTACATGTTGTACTTTCTTTTCATGAAGATTTGGCCTTCTCAAATTGAATCTTCTTACAAGTTATTTAATTTGGGGGCACACCTGCATAAACACGCGTGCCAAATCAAATTGCCTCCACAGACTTAATAGCAAAAAGTGCCCAAATTCCCAGTATGGATGAATCAATACAGGATTTGCACACAAGAAAATGTGTGGGTACAAATTTTAAAGAGATGTTAGAAAAAAGTCACACCCTTTAAACTTCTGCTGTCCAGTCCCCTATAACTCAAGCAGGCTAACGCCTTCAATTATCCTTTTCATTACTGCTAACAGGAAATCAACAAACAAGTCTCATAATTTTCAGAAGTCTACAGTAAGTGTGAATATCTCTCTTTAAGCATACCACTGTAGGGGTGATTTCACTGGGTTCCACATACATCTTGACATCATAGAGGGAGTTAATATCTTTTTCCTAAAAACAGGGAGAAGGAAAAAAAAATTAAGTTACAGGAGCAAAAATTATAAAATTACTTAATGTTAATAGAACATTCATTGCTGAAACCACCTTTCTGACAATACATAGGCAGACGGAAGAGGAGGGAAGCCAGACACCTATGTTATGCTCATTTCTATAGTTGAACATAGATGAACACGAGTGTGTTATTTAACCTGTCTATGCCTCAGTTTAATCAACAGTAAAACACAATGAAACAGCAATACCTCATAAAGGTATCTCTTAATCAGTCAAATAGCTTTGAGATTGAGAGTACCCTTCTGTGTGCAGCCAGGGAAGACAATAGCTACACTTATGATTTCTGTGTTACAGTACTTTAGTTCCAGTATTGGTTTCACTATTAGATAAAAATTCTAAAACAATATACACAGTCATATTTTTAATTTTAGTCTCTCCTTGTGTTCCCATCTGGACCCGGTCCTAGGATACAGAACCTTAGCTATAGGCAACATCATAAAAAATCCTGAGGTCTAAAATGTTTTCAGTTCCTTTTAGTCTCCCCGGAAGAAACAAAAACCCCAGACTGTGATTTCCTCAAACATGCCAGACATGTTTTTCCTGCAGCTTCTAACAGACATATATTTGAAAACAGAAGACAGCATCTCAGGCTTTTCAAAGGCCAGTTACCTCAGCAAAGCTCTCTCGTCACGAACACATCCATCCAGAAAGTAAGCCTCTATCCTAAGGTAATTATCCAGGCTCCCAGTTTAGTCAATGGACAGAGACAAGTATCTCTTGGGGAGATTTTCTCATGCTTATCTCACAGAGTGAGCCTTCAGAGGTACCTCTCACTTTTTACCACAGAAGGCAGTTGGACACCATCCCTGAGTTGGCTCCAGTACGGTGAAGCGAATGCCACTGCCTGTCCAGAGCGAGAGGCACAGCAGAATATTTCATTTTTTTCTGAAAGGCTTAACAACTGGCATCTGCATGATCATTTTAAGATCTCTGCCCACTCCACCAATAGAAGACAGGGCCAAATGCAGGCAAGGCTATTGTCAAAAACTTGTGTTAGCAGAGCAACAATCCCCCACTTCACAGAGCAGCTTTTCTAATCAAATCATGAGGGAGTTGATCATGAGTTGACCGGTAAGCAAAGATCAAGCTCTTTCCTTCACGTATCTCAAAACCTTCATGAGAGAAGTCAGTATAATCATCTCAGTTTCACAGATAAGAAAATTACCTGCTTAACCTCCCCCAAAGATCATCTACCACAGCCAGAATCAAACCCAGCAGCCCCAGGTCTAGATCTGGGACTCCATCCGCAACAGCAACCGGCACTCATACAAAGACCATTGCTTACCGTGCTGTAGCGCTCCAGCAGCTCCTCAGTCACCGGGTAACGCAATTTCATTTTCCTGTACAGCGGATGCTTCTCATAGTATGTCACCAGCTCCACTAAACTCTCAAAATAGGCTGAGGTTCCAAGCACAAAATGGCGACCTTCTTGCTGAATTCGGAAGTGCTTCACTTTCCCCTCCGCTCTGTGAAACAAGTGCAGGTGCTGTAAAAGGTATTGGTACTTGCAGTGAGAGCACCAGTGCTGTAAACTGGACCGAAGCTGCTTTGTGCATCTTCACCATGTGAAATAATTTCTCCCTCTTCCAAAACCTCTTTTATTCAAATTGAATTCCAGTTGCCTGATTAAATTCACAAAAAGACTTTTCTACAATGTACAGGGCCTTGGGACAAATCCATGTTTTTGCTTAGATTAAATTTCCCTATTTTTTTCCCCCGCAAATAGTATGAAGGTGACAGAATACCTAACACAAATGTCTCTGATGAGACTGAGAGTCCCTCTGGAATCCACTGATGATGATCTGCCACTGCCCCTGAGCGATAGACACACTCCCCTCAAAATGAGTAGCTGTCTCTTCCCTGTAATCATTTTGATAACTATAGCAATCAATTTTGAAAGAAAAAAAAAAAATCTCTTGTGCTTGAACACAGCTTTTGTGCTTGCACTGATAACAGTAAAGCCATCCACTGACAACCATTCCACCCACAGAAGACCCCTGCATCCTTTTCAAGCTGCTGAAGGTTTGATACTTGTTGTTTTCCCCACTGTGAAACGGTTTTACTGAGATGCTGCAGCACAAGTTACTTCAATATCCACCTTAGTAACAGCAGAAAGCTTCAAACCAAAGTACACAGGGGACTGGGGAATTCTGGACATCTTCAATACACAGTAAAGCATGTAAAAAAGAGTAAAACAAGTATTTGTTTTTCCAAAGCAATTTTATATGTTGCAGAAACAGGCATTTTTAGAGAAATGCAATTTGATTTGAAGGCACAATGGAGAACACCACAATTCTATACATTTTATTAATGTTGATGTAAGAACCACAGTTTCAAAAATATTTTCCCTGGCAAGACAAGCCAACAATTTCATTCTGACATTTCATTTCGGTCAGTTATATGACAGGGCAGGATTTCGAGGGGATAAGGACCTAGAATCACTGCTGAACCAGCACCAAAGAAAACTTAAAAATAACACCCTGTAGTAAGGAGTGTCAAGGAAGCGAAGAAGGGCCATGCACAGTTCTGTATAGGAAGAAAAGGACAGTCGGTGCCCCAATATTCTTTTAAAAACATAAAGGTTTATTGCAGTCACAAATTAACTCTTGTACACCTTCTCATGCATGGACCTGCTGCACAAATCAACCATGCTAATTACTCAAAGTTCAAAAGCAAGAATTTTATGACTTCAAAAAGACCACAGTATTTTTTAAATAAGAAAAAACAGAACATTGTTGGGCTACTAGACAATGTAGTCATATCTGTCTTTTCTTACCTGAAAGTCATGGCAAACGAATCAGGCTCATCTCTCTTTCTAATCAGAAAGGCTCCATCTCGAGGAATTCGCATCAGCATGTCTTCTGCCTCTCCCCGACTCAAGTTGCTATAGTACCAACTATAAGTTAAAAATCAAAATGGACAAAGGATTGCAAAGCTTGTCAAATGTCAATCAGTGAGAATAACAGGCAGCGTTATTAACAACAGAGTTTCAAACATTACAAGAAAAATTATGCATTAGATTTTCCCCATCTTGCCACCTATGACAGCAGCTTATTGCAAAACACTGTAACACAGCAGCTTATATTGGATGAAAGCATCAAGAATATATCAGAACACCTTGTCTGTCTGAAATCATAAAAAAATCTGCATTTCTTCCTGAAACAAAGGCACTGGATCCTGCTTTTAGTCTGCCATTCAGTTTTCAGTAGTTTATTAAGTTTTGGCATAGTAAATTTAGGAAAAGCCCAAAACACAGAAAAAATAAACACACATGGCATTTGAATTCTTTTATTCAAAGCTTGATTTTATCTTTCACTGTAGGGATGGACCTATCTTGGATTTAATGTGCCTTCAGTGAAGCCGTGGCCACTTATACTGGCAGTACATCTCCACCTTATACAGAAAGGCAGGAAAGCCTAACCCTTAAACTCTACCCTCTCCACTGGCTTCCAAAGTTATCTACAGGTGGTCAGTGACTCCCAGGTCCCAGGGAGGGTGGCAGTGGCGAAAAAAGAAGTTTAAAGTCACAGATCAATATTTCACATGCAAAGATTTGCTTTTTCTCACTGCAAAGAAAACAGAACAAAGGGCAGTGTTTACAGTGTTCTGTCTGCAAACAAGAGCAAGCTCTGCCCAGGATCTGCATTAGGCAAGCACCAGCTGGAAATAAACACCAAGCTATACTACTTCCTATCAGCATGGGGCGAAGTCAGCCTAACTAACTCTGACAGGGGTGAGGTGGAGGGTAGGATTAGGAAAATGTAACTGTTTGGGCTCACTGCCCCTGTAATAGAGTTTCCAGATGGCACAGACCATGACCACTTAGTTGCCAGGCCACAGCCAACTACTAAATATCTAATCCAACCCACTGGGTGTTATAAAACACTAAGCAGAGAAAGAAGGAACTGGCACACTTCCACAGCATTACACTTCTCACTGATTTTCCTAGCTGCTGCTAGTAAATTGCTTTCCCAGTGACTGCTCTCTGTTGTACCAGGTTCTCACAAATTCAGTGATCTTACTCAGCATCTTTCAGGGAAGCCTATTCCTATGACATCTGTGGACAAGCAACACTCAGCTGTGCTTCTGAATCCAGGAAATTTTCTATGCCAAAATCCAAGACCATCTAAAACAATGCAAAGGACACTGTCGTAACAACCCTAGTGCTTGCCTTCTGCTGTACGTACTCTTTAGTCTCATGAGGGCTGGGATTAGGCACAGCATCAGTCAGACGCAGCTCAAATTCAGCACATCGCAAGTGGGCCTCCTTGTAGTGTTGAATGAGATCATAGATGCTATCAAAAGTGAGGTTGTCTGTCAGGTAGTATTTCACAGTGTCCCCATCACTTGAAGAACGGATCCGGCAATGCTGGACTCTACCTGACCTCCTGAAGAAATTAATTGGTGCATGAGGAAAAGAAAGGCTTTATAATAGGTTTTCTTCTTTTGAAGTGTTTCCTCACCCATTCCTGGTCAACTACTTGGTGAGCTTGCAAAGAGGCAAAAAATCTGTATCATCTCGTAAAACAACCAAAGTAAGAACAGCAACAAAAATCCCAACAAGTAAGATTACAGGACCAAAAATAATAATTTTCAGCCCACAGTGGTTTAAAATCTGGCATACACTTACTCACTGTAAAATTTGCTCTGACAGCTCTCTGGGTCAGAAATCCATCTGATACACTATTCCTCATAATGTCCCAACCAGAAGAAAAAGACCCCAGACTACCAAAAAACCAAACACATCCCCCAACCCCCGAAAATTCTTTATTGTTTTCCCTCTAGAGGATCCTTTCATTGAAAAGATCAATTTCTGCTAATAAAGGTATGCTCATGAGACTACCTTTTCAGTGTAGAAACCAGTAATTTATCCCTAAATTAAAAGATCAAATTTTGGCCCACTCATTGAGGAAATAACAAATCCTATATCCTATCCTGCCAGAGCACTAGAAAAGTTTGGGGAAGGGGGGGTCAAACCAGTCAGTCCTCTCTTGACAACTGTAGCACTTTGAATAAAGCCTACTCTGCCAAAATGCACTATGCTACACTGAAGTTTAATTTAGAGAGTAGCCTTTCACAATCCCATCAATAACATTCTAGTAATTATAGCAACTCTTCACTCTTATTTCCTCTCAGCTATAAACGTATACTTGAAAAATACACACATTTTTGTCCATTGCCATAAACCAAACAAAACCCACATAACAATGACAATCACCATACCAGAATGACAAGGTGCAATCATTAGGGAAAGCCTCACTTTCCCTAACTAGGAATGTCCCATCCTTGCCACCCATTTCAGCACAATATTCCTGAAGCAGTTTCTCAGCAGTTGTTCTCCCCTCTTTCATTTTCCCATGGAACCATTTCTCTTTTAAGTGCAGTTCAGTACGTTTCACCTCCTAAACCAGAAAATAAGAATTTTTATAGTGCATTTCTAATTTTATGATTTTGAAACAAAGTACTTATTATTGATATAACAATCTACTATTTCAGGATTTCAGCTCTTCGTAGCCCTGAACTCTGCTTCATAAGCAAGCAATCAGCTTTACAGTTACCCTTGACTCTCCTCCCCAGTCAAGCCATCTCTTTGGAGCAGTGATCCATTTCAGCCTTATTCAAATATGTCATCAACAGAAAGTGAACAAATGCAGCAATACAAACACTGATTCATATTTTCAAGGCAAAATACAGTACTGCTAATTCACAGTTTCTAATCAGCTTTTTCCAGGATTCATCTGTGTTCTCCATTACACATTAATTATTTTACTAATATTAACATCTAGGTGAATGGGTAAAATGTTCTGTATGTGCAGAGATCTCTGAACCATGCACATACACGTTAGCAATGAAAGAGCGTGCATGGAAACCCAAAAGGTCAGAACAAGAAACCATGCTGAATATCACTGCTGTTGCAACCCTTACTGAGCCTCATGTTTCTGCTTTACCATGCACAAAAGCCAACTAATACATGCTCACCTGTGACAAACACTTTGCAAATGTGAAATGAACGTGCACTCTGTAAGAGGTGTGCCGTATTACTAACACAACAAACCTTAGTTCATCATACTGTCTCATTTGAGAATAGCAATAATACTTAGCCAGAGGCATATAAAGACTTTGACTGTCCGTGCATGCCTCAGCATTAGCATTTAACTACCAAAATTATATTTTGTTGTCTTTGTACTCCTCTTTGCAAGTCCTCAATCAGCCAAGGGAAAAAATTATTTTCTTAAAAATAGGGTTAATTGGAATACCTTGGCAAAGATCCTTTTTAAAATTTTTTATCTCCAGATACACTTGTTATCTGACATGGACCCTCTACAGTTTCAACATCAACATAAAAAATACACATCTGTAGACACTGAAATAATCTGAGAGAATAAAAAGAAAATAGCCATCACCTTTGATGAATCTTCATCAGCATTCTGTTCTATATCATCGCTGAATGAAAGCTTTTCATCAGCAATAGCACAGTAGTGCCGAGTCCATTTCTAAAAGTTGAGAGATATTAAAACCATTAACAAGACAGAGGGAAACTCACTAACTACAGTTTCAAAACAAGGTATAATAATAAACAAAATACCTTCTGCCCCTCATTCACATCTGTTCAACTGACAATATTACTTATACAAATATTGAGAAAATTCATGTAAATTTCCAGTTATCACACAAACTAGTAACAAACTGTAGCAAATACTACATAAATAATACCTGTTCTATTGTGTCCCACATGTAAAGTTCTCCTTGTTGCTTTTTTTCTTCTTTCTTGTCTTCCAAGTTCACATCAATGTCTCCCTTTGGCCCCAGTTTTTTGTGCTTAAAAACAAAAAGCACCACTACATTCATACACTCACAATTTAGTAAAGGTATCATTCAAGCAATGAAGAAACAACTAGTTTGATAAGAGCTCACTGTTCTTTAGATGACAGAAAACATGAAGTGACACACAAAAAGAAATACAGATAAAACAATAACCCCTCTGCAGAGAGCAAGACATAAGGAACAAAACCCAAAACAAAACAAAAAGATAAGGAATTAAAATGAATGAAGAATTCATTCTTCCACAAGAAAAATGAGCAGAAGGGAAATTTTTTACGAAATGAGGGGTAAATTCTACTTTCTTGAGAGTGCTCGCAAAAAACAGTGGCTCAAGGGGCTAAGGGTAACATCAAATACTTAACTGCAGTTAATGATGGGATTAATCGTCTCCTATCTAGTAGCTCTCAACTACATTCAGTTCTGCGTAGCCTACCGTAGGTAGATTTCAATTTGACAGGCTTATCTGAAAAATGCCACAGGCTCCTAAAGTAAGAGCTCCCTCTGACTGTTTACTGACAACATTTTCCAAACAAAAGCCAAATAACACAACTAGCTTACTGGCAGGGGCTGATCTATTTAAAGACTCTTTAATGCTCTTTTAGACAGGACAGAGCGATATGGATGTTCTCTTGTGCAGACTCATAGTAGTTTGTAATTCCTTTTCAATCAGATCTGTCGTGTTATTATTCATGTGCCTATGCATCTCCCCCTCTAGGCTCTGCAAGGTAACAATAGACAGTTTGGAGGGAAAAAAACCCAAAAACTTAAGCACAGAGCTTTTACACCTTATAATGGGGTGCTATTATTTCCAGTCTTACATTGAAGAGCTGTATTCTTATATCTGTCTACCCTTATTTCTTCTGTTCACAAGTTTAATACATAGGAAGCAGTACTGTTAGAAGAGCTGGAAAACTCAAGCATGGACAAAAGTAATTATTATTTTACTAAAGAGATCGTGAGCAGCCCTCAGATTCTCCACCTAATTATGCCTTTCAAAAAGTTCTACTGCAGTTTCAATCTGAGAAGTCTTCTTTTAGTTATCTGCCTCGTGTTGTTGCACAACAGTACTGAGGAAAGCATCTGTACTGCCCAGAAGGTAAGACACTCTAATAGGAGCACCTCCGTTTTTTACAAGTGGCTCACTAAATTGCATATTTAAATCACACTGAGTTAGTAAACACCCACCAATTTTTGAAGTTTCCAAGCAATCTTGACAACTCAAGTGTGTAGCCTGCAAGTGCTTTGGGTTTCACTTGAATTAGAGGAATTCTTCAGGAAAAAAAAAGTTAATAACACTAATCTAACTTTCTATTCAAGAACATACTTTTGTAATGTTTAAGCAGGCCACATTGTGTAGGAAGTCTATGATAAGCATCTGCAGCAGTGAGTCCTTGCTGAAATTTAGCAGTGACATTTCAGGAGCTGGAAGACCTTTAGAAAAGGGCTGACATTCAATCTGACACTTGTACTAGCAACACTTATTGCAAAGAAAAACCAACAGCAAGCACTTTAATACATAGTTTTACAGAACTCTGTACAATATTGCAAAATGTTACTACTACACTCTTTAAGCATGGGGTTTCTTGTCTCTCAACAGAAACTAAGCTGTGAAGCCCGAAGTAGTATTTCTGGCTCCTGCTCTTGTTTTCCTATTTTATCTACCAGCGCACAAAGCAAGCCTACCTTGATGATTATTTTTTCTTTCAGCTGGGTTGGTGATGGTAGCTGATCTGCACTGGCTTCAATAGGTTTCATTAAAAGCTGATCCCCAAATACCTCCTTGAACACTTTGGCCATGTGTCGCTGCTGCTCCACACTACAATGCTCTTCAATTGACAGAATGACTGGGTATCTTTGATGGAGAAAACAAAGGTGAATGAAGACAATTTCTTTTTGCTACAGCTGGCGAGGCAAGGAAAACAGCACCCTCTCTCACATCCCCCAGATCAAAGAAAATATTTAAAGCAAACAAGAAGACAAAAGGAATAGACACACAACAGACAATAATAGATGTGCAATCACAGAATTGTTAAGGTCACAAGGGACCTCTGGAGGCCATCTAGCCCCAACCCCTTCTTTGGGAAGACCCAATTCCTAAATTAAATCAGGTTGCTCAGAGCTTTGTCCAGCCAAGATTTGAACACCTGCAAGGACAAAGATTCTTTCCAAGCTCTTTGGGCACAGTTTCAGTGCTAAAGCACCATTATGCGAAAATTTGTTCCTCCTCTCCTCAAAATTGTGTCTTTTTTCCTTCACATGCACTCTGAGAAGAGTCTGGGTCTATCTTCTCTATAATCATCCACTAGGTAGTGGAAGACAGCAACCAGACTCCCTCATTAACCTCTTCTTGAAGCTAAACAAACTTAGTTCTGCGAGCTTCCCCTTCAATATCGTGTGCTCCAGCCACAGCACTAAAAACTGAGGCAGAGAAAGCATGAGTACTTCAGCCTTCTCCAGTCACTGTCCAGTTCAGTAGCATGCTCACATTTTTCTTAATCTTCCTTTTGTTGCAATTGTACCTGTAGAAGTCTTCCTTGCTGATCTTCACATCCCTCAGCAATTTCATCTCTGGATGAGCTTTGACTTTTCTAATTTTGTCCCTGCATATCCAGGAAATACTTCAATACTCCTTCAGGGCAGCCTATCCCTTAATGCAAGTAGGGAAAGCATCACACTGCATTCACGGTACTGATGGTCTGAAACCATAATGCACCATGAATTATGGTTGTCATTAACACAGTATGCCCATGCAGACACTATCCCACATGAGAAAATAATGCTTCTTTATGTCCAGCTGGTAAAGTGGAAAAACAGGACACTGGCAGCCCTATCTCTTTCCCAATTTTGGGGCAATATTTTTCATGTCAAGGACATCTCAGCACAAGTTACAGAAGGGCAGAGCAGAGATGCAGATTTAAACCCATGTTATCAGTCCAGGAGGCATGCTATGAATTCTACATCTTCTCAGCTAAGACCTCCCCTAAAACATGAACATCACCTGATAGACATATTGCTTGTCACTTGTAGTATTTGATTACTTTTAAAAAAAAAATTTAAAGACAAACTATTCAGCATTTGAAGTTTCACACTTCAATTTAAAAAAAAGAAGACCCAAGCAAGAAGATGGGAACCACTGTAGGGTACTCACTATCTTCCCTAGCAGCAAACTGTTATATAATGGGACTTTACCTCAAAACTGAATCTATTAAAGACCCACATTTGGCAACAATGAAGACTACTGGAATGTCATTATTCTCCTATTACTTTTTGCTCTAGATTACAGTGAAAATAAGTTCAGGAAGGTCTAAGCATATGAAAACAGGCTTAAGGAAAATAAATCAAAGCTTACTCGGATGCAACAAAGGCATGATCTTTGATTGCCTGTACTACATCATCAAATTTGATCTTTGTTGTCCGTGTCCATCCGTGGTAAATGATGGGTTTCCCATCAGGACCATCCCAGCAATCCACTAGGAAAGACAAGCAGTGGAAAAAGGAAGAGACCAAGCAGTTACTTAAATAACTCTAGTAGAAGGCATACATCCAAATCTTCAGTGTTCCACATACCGAGTCATAGACTTTAATGTTCTAATAAAATATTCTATTAGGTGAATTTATATCTCTCACAGAGGAAATTAAGTTCACTTAAGTAAGAGCAATACAAATAAAATACAATATAAAATTTTCCCAAAGTATTATCATGTGGGAATCTAGAAATAAGGAATTCAGGCAGCTATTATGTCAGTCTACTCATTTACAATAATTTTCCAGGGATAAATACACTCCAACAAGTGGCAAGTTGACAGCTTATCTCTTTTGTTGATTTTAACCCCGAAATTCTAATTTGAGATACATTTTGCATTAGCCAAATTGAACAGGCAGTAGCAACTAGTTTTATGAAGTAACTGGTGAAATAACATGAAATTAAAGTAAAATTTCTCAATAAGGTACACAAGCACAGGGATGAAGACACATACACAGTTAGTGGAAAACAAATGCACAAAGACATCAACTGATTTACAAGCAAGTTAAACACAATGACAAATGGCACCAAATTACAAAAATCTCTCTCCATTAGGCTTGTCTGTATTACAATGAAGGCAAATAAACTATCTATCTACACTACACAAGTAATTCCAGTTTAAATCCTGCGCTTTCATATAGTAGATCCAAGATTGAATTTTTGGCGTACAGTGAGATTAGATTTAGAAAGACCTTTTTAAAATTCCAAGGGAACAAGAATCAGAGCTAGTGAACAGGGCAATAGTGAGGCATAAGAAAAACAATTTCAGGAATCAGTGTTTTTTATATGACTAACTTCAGAAAACAAACTAGTTCTTAGTTTCGGTTCTTTTTTCTTTCTTGGTAAACGGGGGAAACTCTATTTATATGGAGAGCGTGTTACAAACCACTCAACAAACTCTTTACTCACACTCAATACATCGACATCCCATTCTAAGGCACCTAATGTAAGCTTCTGTGGAGGATTCACTTCGAAGCTGGTCTCCTGTCAGATATCTAAGGAGTAGGAGGAAATTGTAAAAGACAGGCAGTCAGTTTCAACCATTTCCCGCTCACTCACTGGGCAACATTTTTTCCCCTGTCATGGAGAATGTATGTTGGTTTTGGGGGTTTTTTAGTTTGTTTGTTTGTTTTTCTACTTGCAATGGAAGAACTGGACTCTGCTGAACCTGACACCATCGGATTTTTGAATGGACCAGATTATAGGAGATTAAAGGCTCAATCTAAAAGTCAACCAACTCTGACACATTTCTGGAGAGCAAATTGTGAGCTTTGAAACATACCTAAACCTCATCATGCTGAAGCATAATCGTGTTGGGGGGGTGTGGAGGGTATTTAGAGTGATACCACACCCTATACTTCAAAATACTAATAAACTATATCCATATCCACTTTATTTCATTCCCTGCAGTATTTTATTCGTTCATCTCTCCTCCCTCTCTTTACACCTTCTTTCTTTTCATTACTTTGCTAGATGAGCAAATCCCCTTTATTTGAAGACAGTTCAAACTCATCATCACATAGGTTTGTACTTGGGCTAAAGAGCTCGCATACCACAGACTATTAAGGAAAAGGGCTGGATACCTTAATACCTTAAACACAAACTACAGAAATCAGCAGGTAAGTTACTAAGCATAAAATTCTAAAAACAGTAACAACAAAAATACAGTCCCCAGGCCTTCAAGTCCTGGCTGTAAAATAAACTCAAAGTAACAAAGAAGAGCATGGATAGCAAACTGCAATCTTCCTCTGCCTCCAGCACCTTTGCCTGTTCTAATCCTTGTCACCCAGGCGAAGACCATGAGTAGCCACATCCTGATCAGTAGATGTGCTAATTTAAGGTCCCCATATTCCTTTCCCACTCAGGATCAAATCTTTACCACTTTGTGACACTGTAAACTGTCAGAGTATCTATCTATAGTGCACATCACTGCCTCCTTTCCCAAGGCAACAAATCCACTACCCTTCAGATCACAGTAACTGTATGGGATTTTCCCACAGGGCAAGTGGGGTCCTTATGGCATTCTTATGTTCAGGTACAGTTAATGCTGACACTAGCTCAACGAGGCTATTGGTGCATGGAAAAATGGAAGCTCCTTCCATAACTTTAATTTCTGAAAGCAGAGAGGTTGGAACAGTCTCCACTCAAGACTTCTTTTTCATTTTCTAGCAGGATTCAGGGTTTGGGTTTTCTGGCAGCTGAGCTCAGTTGTATCTCAAAACCTCTAAGATCTTAAGAGAAGGGGAAAAAGGAGTCCCACAAACTCTATTTGCCACATTTACATCACATTTTAGGAAGGTTTCACACATCCATGCAGTATATTTCTGGCATAATTTTGAAGTATTTCTTTCTCCTAACAGGTGGTAGGTCTGTTTGAACAGGGATAGACAATGCGACTTTTGGTAACTTACGTGTTATGAGAGGAAGAAATCCAGTAGTGGGACAAAGGATTATTCATGTCCTGCGCGTCTATTGAATCATATTTCTCATCCCAAATACTGTTTTCTTTTGCAAAAAGGTAAGTGAGGAACTACAATACAAAGAGAGAGACTGAATTTAAATGCTTTTACCATACAAGACTAAAACCCAGAGGATCTGCCATCCAATTAACAAACTAGGAACTAACGCTGAAAGAAAAAAGTCCACAAGGAACTATTGAAAAGTATCATTATCTTACCTCATCAACAAAGAGGAACGGTTCAGCAGTTTCTCTCATAGTGTCATCAATAAACTCCGTCATTCGTTCTCGGACTTTACTGAGATCTTGTGCCCAAGATTCCTTCAGATAATAATAATACAGTAGAAAAAAAAAAAAAAACTTTAGAAGTGGTGTTATTCTATATAAAATCAAATAAGGAACAGAGAGACCTACAAATGTGATTTACTTCTCTCCCGTATGGCTAGTTTACTGTCAATATATTTTATTGTATCCATATATCTTAAGAGTTTCCTCCATGATGTCTAAGGGGGAAAAAGAAGATCTCCATCTCGGTACCTTCATATAGATTGCAGGCTCACAAGCTACATACTACGTATGTACATATATGCACAGAAAAAAGCTGGCCTCCTTGAAGGACATGCCTTAACTACAATCTCTCTCATTTCTAAGTGCAATCTGAACATCCTTTTAACACAGTGAAATAGGGAGAAAAAGAAAGTAGCAAGCTTATACAGGAAGTGTAGGTCTCACTTTTCAATCATATTTGCAAACCCAGAGCTTAGCAGCGCCTAGCAAATGTCGCACAATTTTTCCCCATGGTGTCTGTGCTAAATAACATTATAGAAGACCACGAAGACACGGTTCCAATCCCTGTCTCTATCCTTATCTGCTTGCTGGTATGGGACATTGAACTGGCTTCATTCAACAGAAAATTACCTTTGACTTGAATGCAGGCAGTCAGCTCAGCTTTTTATGTAAGACCTGCTAAAATGGGGGCATGGCCAAGGCATTACCCACAGATGTACCTATGATGACAGCTGTAACTAGGCCAGGCTATCATCTTTGACATACATCCAGTATTTTTTTCTAACCTTGTCTGTTTATCTACATGACTAAATGGAGACCTGTTAAAACCTTATTTACTGCGTCCCCCTTCTCATCCTCTGGTGCACCTTCAGAGTCTTTATACAGATGAAAAATAATAGTTCTTGTGAACTTCAATGGCAACAAAGGAGGAGAAATCTTTCCAAGGCCTAGTATCACAGCTGACATCAATCATATTCTATGACACATCACTTTTCTTTTTAATGAGCATAGAATTCTGTGAGACAACCTCATGAAAAAGAACTCAGAACTTCTGCAACCTTCCCACCTGCTGCTCATGTAGCAGAAATCTCTGAAAGTCATGGAGATGAACTGCTGAAGCATCTGGACGGTCAGTATTTCTTAAAAAAAAGGGAAAGTGAAGATAAATAAATAAGAGAGCAAGTGTCACCAGATATTATAGCAGAAAATTACATGGATTTGTATCTTGGATTTACAGTATAAATGTGCTGCCACCACCAAGAAACGTTTTATAACTTCAATGGAATTTAGATTAGGCTTGTAATACTGTATTATCTAATTAATGTACTTTGAGCCTTTAAATAAAGCTTCCTGGATCCCTGATGTACTTTTGATAGTGATTCATTGGGAAAACTACCAAATCTGTGCTCATTGCTTTATAGCAAATGAGCAGCATTCACTTGACAGGGGTGTTGTTAAGTTTAGTTGAGGCATACAGAGACACTGTTCTTTTACATTATCATAGAGCCACACTTCCACAAATAACTCCTTCCATGTATTATTCAGACAATCTACTGTGATAGATCAAAACCTCCTGAAAAAGGAGGCGAGATGCAGCTGCACCAAGCAAAAGCAGCCCAACTGCTTTCCCCTTTGTAGGGCACAAATGCCGCATCATCTGGTACCAATAAGGTATTTATAAGCTACCCAACCTTGATAAATCTGTGCTTTTAAGCAGTCTCATGAAGTTAAATTCATATGACATGATCAAGGGCCAAGGAAGTATGCAGTACACTCAGAGCAAACTTTTTAAGTAACTTCCTTAATCTGTTAGTGTAATATTCAAAACCAAGATAAACTGGTTTAATTCACAGTCAAAATGTTAGTAATGCCTGTGACCTCCTTTTTCATGCTTTACACATCTTATTTAGATTTTCAAGTTCACCAAGCAAAAGATGCAGAAACTGTCACTATCAGCACTCTGCTCAAGACTAGGCAAAACGTGTGCACCATACCACCCTCTAGACTGAAGTTAAAATTTCTCCACCAAATCTCCTTCCATAGCTCTGTTCAGCTCTTAGGAAAATCAGAGGATAGGTGACTTTGTTTGTTCAAGTCCATACCATTTTTGTAGTCAGAAAGTAAAAAACATTTATCAACTTATATTCCAGACTTATTTCCATGGTAAGTTCACCTTTCTGAATGCAAAAAGATGTACATTTCACTTACTAAAGCATCAGAACAAAACAAACAGTGATGTAATTAAAAAACAATCCTATAGCACTACAACTATACAGAAATGTGGAAAAATAATACAAATTAAGAGTCTCACCCAAGAATGAACACAGAGGAATCCTTTTTGAATTCATCAAGAATCTTAAAAAAAAAAAAAAAAAAAAAAAAAAACAACACACAAAAAGGGGGAAAAAGGTGAATAATAAAAGAATATGCAATTTTCTATCTAATTCCATCTAATAATGTCCATGGTTTGGGAAGGGGAAATATATGCCTGTCTGCTCTAGAGAAGCTGCGTACAAGTTGGTAAGACACATTTTTAATTAAACGCATAAGAAAAAACATACTGCCAAGGCTGGCAACACTACTTCAGGCCTTTCAGCGTGAACGCATGCAATTCTCAGGCAAAAAACTTGCTATTGATAATGCACCTTATACACACAATCAGTCAAGTTTCTGGGGAGCTTTTACTGTTTGATATCCCAGAAAAACTGGAATTACGTATCATCCATCATATATATTCATGTGAATATACCACCTAAATTGCTTCCAGCTTGGCACAGCATAGTTACAGATCACAGGAAACTTATCAACTGACACAAAGCAGTTGTTGAGCAAACTGAGGATTTTCTTTGAAATGATCCACGAGGGGCGATAACAAGAGTTTAAGGAAGTCAGATAGCCTCCTTATTCTGTGTTTTACTCTTCAGCTTTCTGCTCAAGCTAATTAACTAGACTTTCACCACCAAAACTAAAACCCTGTCAGTAGATGGAGATTCTTTATTACTTCACAATAATTTCAGCATCACTTTTAAACAGCACAAGAAAGCTCCATTGCCAAAAGAAACAGCACTGACTGACTATCAAAGCTTCTATTTTAGCAACTGCAAGTTGAATCAACAATAAGCATGTCATCAACAAAGACATGCAACTTATTTCACACAGTTTTAAAGGGTTCCTAACTTTCAGAGTCACTAAATGTATGCAGTTTCCACCAGCTTCATGAATCTGTGCAATGAATACATGGAAACAGTAGTCAGGCAGCTGCCCGTATAAATTAGCTAAAATGTAATTCCACTGCATTCATGCCTCCCAAGGACTGTCTGACACATGTGTTGTAGTGGAATCACCACTGGTAATCTCCAAGCATAAGAGACCATGAGAACAATAACTGTTATTTGATGCTCAGGATACATCCTTGTGATTTACAGAATGTTCTTAGCAATAAAAGATTAATACATGGAAAAACCTCGCTCCTATCACTAAAAAGATCAGCCAAGCCTAATGAAAAGACATTCTACAGCCTGAACAAACTCACAAGAAAAGTTCTTCCTAGGAACCCCATTATATCTGTGCACATCTCTACTACCAACACACAAGCAGCAACATTAATGACTTATTCATCTTCTTAAGCCAATTGCTGATGGTAACTGTCATCTACACATCAAATACAGTACTATACCCTTTTTCTGTTACAAGAATGGGGAAAAAAAGAAAATTAGTAACAAACAGAAACAAAATAATAATCAGCATTCACTCTTTATTCTGATCAAGCAGTTTAACAGTATGAAGACTAATTATGAAAAAGCTTACCGATTTCTGTTGTTCAAACATGATTTTCTTGTAGAACAAATGAAATTGTTCAAAACTAAGCTCTTCCTTGTGAGCGCCTATTTCCTACAATAGAAAGTAGCAATTTAGAATTCCCTGAACTGCATTTGTACAGCAAACAAGTTACTCTTACTCCAACTGCCACCCTCTCAAGCATTCTGTTCTACCCCAACTTCATTTGTTTTAACCACTTGGAATTTAGAAAATTTATTTATTTAAGAATACAAACAAGTAAATAGGTTCTTGGTTTGTGACATAGTGCTCCTAGTCCACATCTTTGGCCTCGCATTTTGTATACTGACTCCATTTCCACTATGTTACTGAGAGTGAAGTAGTGCATCATTTAGTCATTGTTAGCTGGAGCAACAGAAGCAAGAATGTATGCTTTAAGGGTGGAGAGTTGGAAAGCAGGAAAAGGTGGGGATATTTAAAATTCCTGTAGGAATGGAAATGACCTTCAGAAGTTATTAATGTTAGCACAAGCTGGCATGAAAAGGTTATTACTTGATCATATTGCAAAAAAATCCTTTTTCTTAATATATTATCTTAAAGATAAAACAGTTTCCTATGCACTTGCACAGTGTCAGCACTGGAGCTCAAAATCCAATGTTGGCTTTGGTCAACCGTACAATGAAAGGAAGGAACATTTATGTCTATATTTTCTTATAGCCTTGGATACAGGCAAAGCCAAGCTAAGAAATTAATCAATATAATTTATTTAACTGTACATGGTAAGAAGCAAAAGTATAGGCAGTATCCTGAAAAGAAATAAGAACACCTATCAGATAATACCAAACATAAGTTATCAGGTAATTACCGCAAATTTGTCCTTCAAGAACTTCATGCTGCTCACTTTGAAGTTTACTTGGGGAAGGATGGTTTTCAGCTCTCTAAGACTGATACTGGGAAAAAAAAGAAGGAAAAAAAAACAAGATAGCAAAAACTCCATGGTTCTGCTATATCTTCTGCTATCTAGCTACTAATATATTTTCTATCAACACAAAAATGTGACTACTGAAACATTTTGCGAAGGGCTCATCTCGCATAACTGTAAACTATAAACCTAACACCTACGTGTGAGCAAGCTAGACATGCTTCCTAGTTAGTGGGGAGAAATAGGCATTTCAACTAATTTGGGCATCCATATTAGGATGAAAAGAACCATGCTGCAGAGACACCCATTTCTGTCCATCAACAATTAATCAGATCTAGACGATCAGCTCAAATGTAGATGTTTATACATGGTCAGATGAACTGCAGCCTTTCTTCCATTGTTCCAGTCCCACTAAAACTAGAATATAGACACAGAAAATATTATACAAAGGATATACCAAACAGATGAGCAGAAACAGAAAATAAAAAGCTCCCGTTTTCATTATCATTATAACCTTTTTCTCAAGCTGTTATTCACTTGGATGGTAAAATTGATTTGCAGCAGCAAGACTGTCCCCTTCTGCAACATCTGAACAGGACCTCATCCTCCTCTCACAACCAAGTCTTCCCAGAGAGGATTGCCTCCCAGATCCATTTACAGAGACCTGCTGACCCTTTTTACAGAGTTTCAGCATGTCTGGTGATATACCAGCAACAGTTCAAAAAACAAAGTTTTCCAGGTAACAGCAAGACCTTTCAAGTAAGACATACTTATTTCAGATTTTAAGCAACACAGTGCTTACATACACCAACTATTTAAGCAATACTTATATACACAACTAAATTTATTAATCACTGCAATGCTTTCTGGCCACAAATACTTTGTGGCCATACATCAAGTCATGTATGATGTATACATCAAAATTCTTTTGTTGAAGGAAGATCTTGTATTAGAAAAACCTCTGAATAGCTTATTTCGAAAACCTCAATTTCCTTCACATCTTCCAGTTTTCTCATCAACCTCAGATTTTATTCCAGAGTCCTAGGTGCCGCTGTCATAGCATTCTTCACTGCAAGCTCAGAGCAGCTCACAATATTTACTATACTTACCATCAAAACAGAAATAGGAGGTAAGGGAATGCTACTATAACTCCTGTATGAACAGATAGACGGGCAATTTCTAAAAGAGCTGGGTGTCCAAATGCTTAAATGTGCCATAGGTACGGGTGAGCCAATGTAAAGCTCACTACTGTTACAAGAAGCAACCCCAACTCCTCTCCTTGTGCCCCACTCTGTTCTCCTGTTGCTATGGTCCCACTGCTTCCATAGGCCAACTGTGACGATCAAACCTTCTGCCAACCTGATTCAACTTGCTAGGCAAGCAGAAAACTATGTGGCTGAGAAAAAGCGAGAACACGTTTTCCACTGGCTTGACGAAGTCACCCAGCTAACCTCATGCCCAGGTCAGTGTCACAGACAGAGTAAGGAAAAGGGGCTCGAGTGACCGATTACCAGCATGTAGAGATGGTAGAGGAAAAGAAAAGAGTGAGACTTCATCCATTCAGCAGCACCAAGCCAGTACACCAACCCAGCTGTCTCCTGTAGCCCCATTTCAGTCACCTGCTCTTCAACTTGTCTTTGGATAGCAAAGAATGGAAATTAGGTCACATGTTCTAGGACAGAGTCTCAAACTCTGGGTATTCTCGGTAGGCATTGACATGAGGTCTCAACGAGGAAGACACAGCATTACAGTGGGACATGTGAAGGGAACAGGGACAAGTCCTAGAGTGGAAGATGAGGGGAATCTATGGCAGCAAAAGGAAGCAGGGAAGAGTCAAGAGAACGCAGGCACAAGATCCGTGGTTCCTACTGCCAATGCCCACAAAACATTAATGCAACACCCACAGTACCCAAGAAAACAAGGCTAAGGTACTCTGTCTTGACCTACAGTGCAATTCATAAGCCATTAACTCTGTGCAAAGACAGGGTCAGAACAGAGTCACTTGGAAGCAACAAAAACAATTAGCACCTAGAAGAAAGTAACACTTCTACTCTACAGTGTCCATACAAGCAGCTACCCTGTGAGATACTCTCAACTCCATTGTGTAGAGAGGGAACGAGGCAAAGCAAGAAGGAACTTAGCCAAAGTCCATGCCAAAGCCAGATTAGAACTCAGGAAATTCCTGGCTTTCCGCCTTGTCGCCAGACCTCTGGAAAAAAACACTACTTTTAGGAGCAAGAACGAGTGCTCCATTTGTACCCTAAACACCAAGCACAAGCGATTTCCTCTGGCCAGACAAGTGCAAGCCAAAACAAAGAGCTGGGACTTCATTACCACTGGAAAAAACTCAGCCTGTGAAACAGGACTTGCCTGGAAGCCTAACATTTACAATTAACCTCCCTAGAAACTGCAACACTAAACACAATGAAACTCAGTCCAAAGTCCTTTCCTGAATTTTTCTAAAAGCATGAATCATCTATCAAGAGAATGAAAAACTGCCCTCTCCATAGTGCAAGTCCCCTTGATCTTAACCAGACTGCCTCATAGTGAAAGAACCCTAAAGCAACAAATGAAATCCCTTCAGCAGACACATACCGTCAGCCACAGCTTCTCCATCCTAACATTTGCTTTTGCTTCATGATACCTGCCAACATATCCCCATTGCAGGGCTAGTTTTTCAAAATACATCACGAGGTATAAGCCAATATCCAGTAAAGGATGGTATTTTCCCCTTCACCACTCCAGCCAGCTGCACAATGCCACAGGCTGTTGGCTGAATGGTGTTATTTCCTGCAATAACACAGTCCCATTCACACAATGAAACACCACACTTTATTTTTCTTTTAGGAAAAGGCCTAAATGAGAGGAAACGCATGTACTTTTCTACACTGAATTATACCTTAGAATAAAACGCATATTCCAGACAAAGAGCAAAACCATAGTAAAGTGATAGACATGGGGGAGGAAGGGTTAACATTCTTCTCAGTGTCACATGATTTCTGGCAACTCTAAGGAGAGGTATGCAGCTGAATTAATTAAAAAAAAAAAGTCCTCTTTGCTGTGCAAAAGCTACAAACCCACATCACACATGGACCTGAAATGAATTACTGAAACTCAAACATACGAAGCCACACAGCACACTGAGAGCTACAACCCATGGGACTTCTTTCACATGAGAAGCACCAGGTCAGAGGTGATTATTTGGCTTTGGCCTATTCGAGTATGTGGCAAAGAGACAAGCCCATGTAGTCAGGTGAATTGCTAAAAAAAAAAAAAAAAAAAAAAAGGATTTTGCCCTTACTCCAAACCATTAACTTGGCTTCCTTCTATATCTATCCTCAAGAGTATCTTCTGTTTCCCACTGTTAAACTGTTTCACATGGTACTACCCTATCATACCAGTAGTCGTCCTCCTCCTCTCCCCTAATATCCTCTGTTATCTCCTCTTCCTCTTAATATTCTGTTATGTTCTCCTCATAGCTCTGACTCTTGCAGGAAAGAATTCATGTTATTGCTGGGACAACCCTATCTCTGGATATATCTGACACTGCTGCTGTGACTAGTTTCAGACTAGATACCACACATACTAGCCATGTTCAGGCCCCATCAGGACTGAAACAAGGGAAGGCTAATCACTTAAACATCTGCCCTGGATCTTTAGCAGCCCATGTTGAACTCTGCTTATGAGCTTCACTGTTACAAATGCCCTAACAAGTTTTTAAAAGCTGCTTCTGGTCTGTCTACTTTAGAGTGTAGTCACTCCAATGCAAACATGCTTCAGCAATGAAGGAAGAACTGGTGGCATAACTGCACAGGAAAGCTCACAGTGGGTTATACAGTCCAAGCTGCTAGGCTCCAACTTGGCTATGAAAGGGTAAAGACCTTTATAAAGCAAGCAACCTAACATACCTGCACAGCTGAGCTGAATTTTTACAGTAAGACTGGAAGAAGACAACTCCCTTTTCTCATTCTGGCAGGGTAATTCCAGGCTAAAAGCAAAACTATTTATTTTTCATCATTTGCTTCCTCATTATACCACAAACACAAACATGCGTGAGTGCTATGAACACGTTGTGTTTAGCAAAAGGCAAAACTGAAGTTGTTAAAGCAAGAGCAAATGCCATTTCCAGGGGTCTCATATTTCACATCTTGGACCAAGATTTATTTATTTCCATTCCATGTTAGAATCTCCAACAAAAGTTCACTAAAAACAAACTGAACAAAGAGAGAGCTTCTTACCTATTTCTTCTAGTTTGATCAACAGAATAGATCTGCTTTCTCAGCCAGCTTGTGGAAAAGTAGGAAAAAAAAAAAAAAAAAAAAAGGTTTAATCTAAGAATTATAAAGAAAACACGGCCAATGAAATCTCAAAATCCACACATGAAATTCAATAAAAATATTTAAAAGTCATAAGATATATCTCTTTTAATAAAGCAAAAACATTTCCAGTGCAGCATCTAAGGATTCAGCCAATTTAATAACTGTATTTGTAAATATTTACTTTTCTGCTGCTTAATACTGCATTTTAAAGCCACATAAACAACACAGGAAGGGGAAGGGCGGGCAGGACAGAAAAGAATGAGCAACCAGAAGCTATAAAAATATAAGTCAATAAAGCGAGCCAAAACTTCAGCTAATCTAAACGAGAGTAACTCCATCAAGTCAATGATTTACGCCAGCTGAGGCTGCTGGCTCAAAGATCTGTTAGATACATAACAATGAAAAATTAGGGGGGAGGGAGAGGAGTTTAGAGAATTTTAAAGAAAATCCTCGTTAGAGTGCATGTCAGGTTTAGGTGCACAGCAAAATACTATTAGCAGCATTAACAGTAAATATACACACATGCAATTTTGTACATCTAAAGGATGAACACAGCATGTCATTATAAAGCTTATCCTCAGTCTCTGTGGGAATCACTCTGCTGCACAAACATAGCCTGGAACCCAGTAGCACTTTGTATAGCAGCTCACTGCGATACCATAGAATAGATAAGAATATATAAGAATACTTTGTCCCCAACTGGAGCGGCAAGTAGGTAAAGACAACATCAATGTCAAAACCACAATTTGGTCAGGTAGCAAGTGAGGACAGGATATATCCTCACAACAGGTAAGAGCACTGACCGCAAGCAAAACTGTCAGCAGTGATGAAAAGCAATCAGGTACGGAGACAGCATTAAAAGCTTGTCAACAAAACTGGCATTCTGAGCATGAATAGTTTCACGTGCAACATCCTCAGAAGCATTAAGGGCACAGTTTCACCATCATACGGCTGGCTGCTAAAAAGTAAACCTTAAAAATGTTCATTTTCAGCCTGGCTCTTCGAGACAGCTGATCACATGGCCATATAATGCAATCCAATACAAAGGAGAAACCACAAAAGCGCACCTCAGAATTATTGGGACACAGGGCACATGGACATCTACTAGAGCAAGCCTACTGTGATTGCGTAAGACATTTGACTTTTTCAAGAAGTCAGTGCACACTTACACCAAATGTTCTTGTAATCTCATTAAGATTAACATTTTTGGTTTGGTTTTATCTTGGTATACAGAACAAGTTAAACTGCAAGTCCACGTTAGTGGATGCAGCAGAGTGCGATTCCAGAACACGTATACAGAAAAACAGACATGGAGAATTTCCACATGAGCGTTCTGTATCATACACTAACTTGAGAGTAGTTGTTCTCAAGGTAACTGGCAGGCACCACTTGTTGCACCTTAAAAATTTCTTTCAGATTTTCCACTTTCAATTCCAAAGAAACATCAAGTCTCACAAAGTTAAAGTATGTCCACATACCTCTCTGTGATTGCAGGTGTGGGAGCACTCATGACCTCTTGATACAAGATATTCAAGCCACACAACCATTTATCAGCATCATCTTTAGAGTCAGCTGAAAAAAATAATATGCTATGAGAAACATCAGAAAAAAAGCAACACAAAACTAAGACATAACTTGTGATGTTTAGATAAACCCTACTATACAAAGCTGCTGATTAACCTTTCTCTTTGCATAGCTTCATGTTGCTAGTAGTAAAACTAATAAAAAACAGCATAAATTTGGGGGTGGAGGGTTAATTCTGGAAGCTCTGTCAAAAAATAGCTCCTTTTAGAAGTCTGCTTATCAGGGTAGGCAAGTTTCAATATCTCAGCAGAAAGACTATGATACTACTGCTGAGTTCTTGTAGTAACACAACTAAAATTCTTTTTCTTATCTTCTATCTCCAAAGTAGCAAAACTCCAGGGTCCTACACCTAGAGCAACTTGAAGCACACAGACAAAAGAACTCATTGTGTTACAGCATAAAGCTAGTTCCTTATATTCCAACCAACCCACAAGAAAATTGTGAAGTACTGGCTTTTGATGGACATAACCACCTCCTGTCTGTCTAACCATGCCTCTGAACACAGACTGTTCCAGACTAGACTTAGACAAGAGGAACAGGAAGGGAGCAATGTACAAAACTGATGTAGCTTATATGGAACACAGTTTAATACAAGTTAAAACAAGGTCTAAAATTCCTTATGCAGCTTAACACTAAAAGCCAGGTACACCTTCCTCCCAACCTTACAAATTGGTTTATCACTGTCCTGTTTAGTTTTAAATGTAGTTTGCCTTTCCATTTCCCAAACCAGAAGAGTCCTCCACATCATTTAACATGATCGCATTTGGTAATGCTTCAACCCAACAGAAGCAAGATGATGAACTGCATGCTGGGTGTAGCCTTCCCTAGGGAATACTGGTTAAGCTGAAACCAATTTTTTGGGCCTTAGAAGAGATGCTACTATTACAGCCTTCAGTTGGGCAAAGTCCATTTGCTTTAGCATGCTGGTTCTGAAATTTCATGAAGGCATTCTTCAATTAAACCAGTTCTGAAAAATTATTTTCACACAGGAGCTGTAATCTGTGCAAATTCTTTTAACTGCCTTCAAAGAAAAACAGTTTCTCAAAAGATGAAGATTACATTTTATTTAAACATACTTTCAAACAATGCTTTATATCCCCAAGGACGCAGCTAGAGCCCAGCCTCAGCTCCCCACGGAAATGTTTTTCAATTAGTTACAATTTCGGAAAGAACACCCACTACCACTGCCAAACCAATTCTTGTCCCAAGACAATTCTGCCCTTTATGACAGCTACCATTCCCTTTAAGTAACAATTATTTTATATTGTTTTAAGAAACCACAACAAAGCATTTTAACAAGGAAAAGCATTTTCCCTTTAATTTAAAGTTGTATCATGTTGTTCTGCAGTTCAGCATTATGGCAACATATCTCATGGTACCAAGTGTTTTCAAAGTATTGGCAGAGGCCTGGTTTTGAGAACTGCCATGGAGGAGGGATGGGGAGGTTGTCAGAGGAAATCAATCAGAAGTACCTGGCACAGCTGCACTTAAGCACAGCCACTTACTCAAAATTTTCACAGACTTCAGCCAACAATGGTAAAACTTATTTAAAGTTAAAAGCCTACAAACAATGGATTAGTCACAAGCAGACTTTAATCCAGTGCATCAGACTGCAAAAAAACTAGTTTTTAGTACTGCAATCTATATGCAATTAATTCCATTTAAAAAAAAGCTACTGTTAGCATTAAAATGCTTACAAAGCATTCCCTTTTTCTCCCATTAAGATTTTGCAATGAATTTAATGATTTAAATGGACAAGCGTGTTCCTGCACAGGACAGAGAGAACTACCACTCCAAATAAATCGTCTGTATGATTCTAAACCAAGCATCCATCACAAATTTCTTAGAACTGAAATTTCTCTGTAAATTTGACTAGTTAGAAACTGTATTCAGCCTGCACTGTAAGAATTTATATCCCTTTTCATTTCAGAATCTTTAGTTTTGCGACCCTGGATAATCTCACCTGAAATAAGACGTGCCCCAACCCTTTCCACAGATACAGCATACAACGTCCCTCTGTTTCACATGGATCTCTTAATTTTCAATTTATCACCTTTGAATTTTATTTACAGTCCCCTAGTACTTCTTCAGAAGAAGTTTAGTATTATCAGGTGACATGCACACGTATAACTCAAACTAGAACTTCGTTTTTCCAAATTAGTCTGCAATTGCTCATAGGTGATAGGAAATTTTCTGTGATACAGCTGTAGTCTAACACTTCATGGCTATTGTTTCCAGAATCATTTTGCCCAGACTAAAAATGCCAGGGCAATATTCTGGCCACACTGAAGACAACAGCAAATCCTTTGCTGACTTTAAAGAGGGCAATGTCACCTCTGCTCTTCCATGTTGAAAACCTTACTATTTAACCAGCAAAAGACTACCTTGGTAGAAAAGATTGAGCAAATCAGAAACTACATTCACACGATATACTATTTGAAAGCAAAACATTACAAATGCAGCAGTTCACAGACACAAATGCCCGAGTAAAAGGCCTATCTCCAGATTTTAAACATCTGGTGCACTCCTGAACGGCAGAAGGCAAAACCACAGTATTCTTTGCTTTACTGTTCCATCAATGTATTTGATTTGTTCAATCGGTAAGTTTAAAGAAGAAACAAAGAAGAAAAAAGTACCTGCTAAGCTTAAGGTGTTGAGGACAAACTGGGTACCATAAAAAATAGTAAAGCAGTGTTCTTCTCTTTGTTTTGCTTTGCAACGCTCAAAGTCCTTTGAATTCTTTCCTGGGCGAATTTCTTTTATTTCCATCAGATCCACTGAAAGGAAACAACATTCAGTCAGTACAACTGCACTTATGTTCCAGCAGAGCCTGAAACAATCATATGAACAACTCAAAGTATGCATATGTATATAAAATATCTATATATATAAACTTAGAGATCTTTATTGCGCAAGACATGCAAATTGCACCAGCTTGCAATCCACGAATCTACAACTAAATATATTACTAACTAACAGACAACAGTAGAGAAGGAGAAAGAAGAAGAAGAAGAAAAATAACTTGTCATATTTTTATCATTTCACTATCACTGATTATCCATGGACAAAGTGTATACACATAGCCCCTTTAGGTTACAGAAGACATGATTTCACAAATGGCATTTACTCTAAGCAAGAAATTTCCAGTTGCCATGACAACATTCAGAGACAAAAAAGAAAAGATACAACTTCTAACTTACCCATCTAAAAATTATGCATCAGATCTTAGATAGTCAGCTAACCTTGTCAGCTAGTATAGTCACTGGCACTTGTAAGAAAAATATTTAAAGAATATAAAGAGAAAATCCAGCCTAATAATTAAAATGTTTGTGAGTTTTTTCCCGATCAACTCCAAAGAGATCTCTGCCATTTAACATAAACTGTTTTATCACTTTCAACTTGCTGCTTTCTACAGAACACAGGTACACATTAGAGCATAGCAGAATAGGAACACGCATAAGCACACATTTTCTCAAGTTGGCTCCCTTTTTATCAAAACCCTTGCTACATGGCCTGCATAACTGTAGTGAGACAGCACTGAAATAGAAATATGTGCACTCTCAAGATAAGATACTTATTAGAAAACTGAGGAAGTGGTTTTGTTCTGCCTGTGGACCAGACAAATAAACAGCTCTTCCCACTTCTGGACAGTCTTGACTTCCGAGCTACAGGATGAAGAGTGAAGAAAAACATTTCATGCGTGCTCTTGAAATGTGTTTATCAGACCTAGCAAGATCCAAGGAAAATAGCTGAGGGTTTCTGTCCATGCATTTAAGAACACCACAATATAAAAAAAAAAAACTGGTTGAAATAAGCACCTCATCAGTAACAGAAGACAGTTAATAACATAATGAAAAAGCAACTCTGCTGCCAATGGAGGGGAGCTGAACACTGGTTAAAGCTTCTGCCTCTGTAACGCTGGGTTGCTATAATGCCAATATGGAGAGGGAGGAGAGACAAGCAAGGAAGTTCATCAATAAAATCCTGATGATGAAACATTAATTCACCTTGGAATTTCTTATTCTCTGCAAAGTATCCCAGGCCAAACTTTCCACCTGACACTCCTTTCTCCCAGTCATTAAACAACTTACCTTGGAAAACGGGACCTCAAAGGTTAACCTGAACTAATCATAGGACACAAGCATCTTTCTTAAACTAATTTGTCCAAGTGTAATTATCTTCAAGTTAGAGCTTTTAATGTCTCAACCTCTGTGTCTCAGCCACCCTCTCAAACCATAAAAACATCTCATAAGATCTGCACACCTGATTGGCCAAGGCCCCTAAATTTAGATGCAAACTTCTAAAATAAATTCATGACATGACCATAAATGACCAGCAACCAAAAGCTCCTACTGATGACTGTGACCCCTTACCACCCAGAGTCTCACTTAGATCCCTAGCAGTGTATCCGAATATCCATCTCAAAATGCTACCATCTGAAAAAAGATGATCTAAGCCCACCAATTCATGTTAATATCAACAGAGAAGAATCAGGATGCAAATGGAGAGGGAAGGAGGTTGCACGGCTGCAATAAACAGCACAGGACTGCGCACCATTCTGGCTCATTCTAATCATGGGCAAGAGCAACCCCAGTCACCTCTTCTGCCTTCCCTACACCCAACAAATTCCTGCTGAAAAACAGTTTTAACTTCAAAGTGAAGCACACCTTTCACTTCAGACTCCTATAAATCCACGCATATGAACACCACACCACAAAGACCCCCTCAAAGTATAAACTATAAGCAGCGATAAAACAGATTTCACAACCTGCATTGCTGTTGTCATTTCAAGTGGCTCTTACCTCATACTGACCTCTGAAACAGACACACAAACTTACTCAATGTCTCCCCTCAGTTACATATACTCACTGCAGTTCTTTTCCTTGCATTACAACCTTTCAGTCCACCATCCCATTCTCCTGTGTTAACTAACGTATGTGTATATACATATAGCCACAAAGATTTTTGTATGCACAAGTAACCATATTATTGTTTCTCTGACTGGTCTTTGAAAAAGAGATTACTATACCCTAATTGCTGAACATTCAGTAAAAGGAGAAACAGTTCTGCAAGAGAACAAAGTTAGGAGAGAGATAAACCCTCTAATTCAGAATTTTACATTCCTGTATTTTTCAGGCAACATATATCCCCTACACAATTCCAGCAAGATATCATTACATTCACTTAAGTAATATATGAAACAGATGTACAAACCTCAAGTTTTATTAAACATTATTTAGATTTTTACAGAAAGACATAATACTTGCTATAGTTTCAGAAAATTAATAGAAACTACCTGCATTTATTTTAATGACATTTTATGGTGTCATTTAGGATGTATTATTCTATACTACTGAAAGAAAAGCCAAGGCAGAAAATCAAAGGGGGAAAAGAGAGACATGCACAGCAAGCATAAATTTTGGTCTTGCACTAAGCTCTGCTGTCTCCCCAGGTAGTCTGGAGTCACCCAGCGCACTCCACACGATGCCCACTAAGTCCAGAATGGCTGATCCCAACTGAATCAAGAAAGGAACAGGCCAGGAAAAGCTGCAACATGTTTCACACTCAGATTAGTAAATCAGCTGTACCAACTTAGCTGTTACGCAGTTACTGTGAACGTTTCATAGCACAATCTGTCACTGAACAATTAAAATGTTACTTCATGCCTGTGCCAGAACTACAAGCACAGTGCCTTGGACACTCTGTCTTCTTACTGCTTTGAAGTACTGGAGCCTTCCCCCTTCTCAATCCCACGTGCAAATTGCAGAGCTTCACAGATATTCCTGGGGCCTGATACACCTGAAAAAAAGCACAGACCTGGACGCTTGCAGTGTCAGATCAAATCCAATACACTTGCAGGTGTGATTTCCATAGAATAGTGCAAGATTAATGCATTTCCCGAGGAAATATAAATCAAAGTATGCCCTGTAGAGAAGCTGACTCACACCCAGCAAGACAAGGAGGACACTCCCAACGCATTTGGTCCCCAGCCCCAGTCTAGTGCCACTCTAAAAACCCTACAATACTAGTTTACATTTCATCTGTTCTTTTATGTGGTGATTTCCACGTGTTAAAAGGTTCTCCTTGACAGCCTCATCAGTCACCCTTTGATTCTGACAATTCCCTCAAGTGGCTCTTTAACAAGATCGGACTCCAAGGCACCTTCAATTACCATCCTGTTTCAGGCTCTGATCTGGACATGCAGTACTCGTGGCAGTTCAGAGCCTGAAGCTGCTAAACTTCAGCTCCTGCTGCTGTGTGTTGTTCAGCAAATCAGTTAATTCAATGGATCATTACACTACTACATAGCTACTTTCCAAAGACTGCACAAATTAATTGCTCAGTGCCTTCCAGAGCGCCTGCTAGAGCTCTTTACTGCCATAAACTTAACAATAAACTTTTGATCCTCGACATCTCTACTGATCTCCATTAAAATAACCTGGCAGTAGTGATCACATTTAGTCACACACTTACAGGTATGAATTGCTGTTACCTTTCCTTCAGTGACACTTAGAGGCAGATGGTAAAACAGAACTTGGATTCCACCAGAGTAGGTATTGTGCAAGATGAGCAGAAGACAAGACATAAGGTAAGCACAGGTAGAGAACAACGTGAACAGAACTGCAAATATTACATGGTTGTACACAACACCACTGTGCTCCTCACACAACACCACTGTCCTTCCTTCCAGAAGGAGAGAAGAAACCAGCACTGCTACTCAAAGGGAGAAGTTCTGCCTCTGTCCACCCCTGTCCTCACACAACACCCACCTCTGGTCGGGAGCACAACCATTCAGCACCCAAACAGGGTTAGGGAACGAACCCTGCTTAAAAACAGCTGATGCCAACAGCAGAACACTTTATGTTAGGTGGAAGTGCCCATGTAAGTTCACGGAAGGAAGGCATGTTTGCGCTGATCAGCTTCAGGCAAGTCAGGTAGTTCAACTGCGACTGGCATTATGGATTACAGAGTCTTTAAGATAAGGCTCCTGATGCAAAGTCCAAAGTCCCCAGGACTCTCTCGGTGTCTGTAGCCACAAACGATGCTTGGATCGGAGCTCAGAGTTATGTACTCAATGAATAAGAAAAAGCCTACAGAGAGATTCAAAGGAGGCTTACAGAGTCAGAAATCAGGCCATGAACACTATTTACTTCAGCAGGTATTTTCAGTAAGTCTCAAGAAGGCTAAAGGGAAACTACTGGCAATGTTTCGGAGAGGAAAATAAGGGACTCTGATCACCTAAGTGCTGTGGACCAGGACATGGGGTGGGCATTCTCTCTATGAATATATTAGCATTTTCATGTTTGTAAATATATAGCAACATTTTGCACTTAAGAACCAGTTTTCAGAATCCATATTTTTTTTCAACAATTTGCATTACAAAATATTCCAAAGAAGGTTTCATTTGGAAAGGCAGAAACTGTCCTCTGCAACATAGCCTATATGCAAAAGAGCTCCCTGTGAATGAAGAAAGCTTTTAGTATCCTTTTGCAAATGTACTTCATGGTGGTTAGCGAGAACAAAGGCTTTGTTCTCACTTTTGCAAAATTAAAGATTAACTATACAAGGTGTGTCTTAGCAGCCTGTTTTATTCAGAGCAGCAATGAAACGCAGATCTTGTGCAACTAGAAGGAACAAGGTGAGGCTTCTCTCAGGGAAAGACAAAGTCACATGAAAGCAGAAATCTCCTGCAGCATGACAGTACCGATGTGGCATGGAAAGTAATTCAGCTCATACAAACAGCGAAATTGAGTGAGACATTCAGTGGCCCAGGGAA